ATAATATAATATCCAAGAAAGCACATGTTTAACGTACATCCTACAATTTCGACGATAGATATTTCACGTAGTACTTTATCCGTTAGCGATATAAAACTGAAAGACCACAGAGGCATTATCGCATAAGACGATGTTTGAGAAACGAAAATATGATTTTTTTTAAGAATGTTAATTAATAATTAAATTATTAACTCTTGGCCAGTCGACGTTAAATCAATTGAAAATCATACTTTTCAATTGTACAAATGTAATATAAAATATAATAAATAATTGCTTTATATAGAGTCACGAAATGACTTACTGTAAGATCCGAACGTGATGCTGCACAATCATCGACATTCTCTCATCCAAGTTGCCGCGAAAGTCTTCCCTTCCATCTACCAAATGCTCGATCCATTGCATTAGAATCTCTAAGCGGCCGCAAGCATGCATTGCGAATACGGCGGCTACACTGCATGCACCGGCGGTGATGGAATGCGCGATGAAACCTGACAAACACTGCATCCAGAAGATAATCTCGCTGATGGGACTGTATCGCGCGTCGACGAATACTCTGGCGACCGGATACACCAGAGGCTGATACGTCAAATTTAGGTCAATCTCCGTGACCTTGCCATTGCTGAATGGCATGGCGAGGTAATAAAACACAGCACCACCATACATGAAGAACGCGCATATCGCTACGAGACGACGGCCGAACTTTGCGTTTCTAATCATGATGATCCGATCTTTGTAATACCGGGTGTTCATCCAATCGTTCTCGATGTGCTGGATACCTTTGCGGATATCGTTCTCGCGCAAGATCAGAGAGGAATACTTAATGACGGCCATCAGACAGAAACTCAGAGGTCCGGAGAGCTTCAAGGTATTATACGTGTCCTCTACCTCGAGCGCCATGTAGGCAGCACAGGGTATGAACAGGAAGCCAATGAGACTGGTGCAAATCACGTTTATTAGCATATAAGCGGATTTTTCTATCCATGAGGTTCTTGCTGATTTTGGCCAGACGCCGATCGGCTTCAGTATCCAACGATTCAGCTGAATGCTTAGCTGCACGTCTTTCTCATAATCGTAGACAGTCGCGACGAAGTTCGAATTCTGCGTAGGATTTTTGTACATCGTTAAAGCACGGGAGCTTGCTAGATACTGAAAGGATTGTGCAAAGATACAAGCTCGGGAAATTAAATACGACTGCGCCGTTTCGCGTAGCATCCCTTCCAAGAAACAAGTATTCATGCGATCAGCCATATCAGGATGATGAAGGGTGCATTTTATAGTCATATTGGCTTTTATAAGATGATAAGAGGGGATACTATTCCTTTCGAACTATGTCTGCTGCTGTTTATGAATTATATACATGAGATTTGCATTTTCCGCGCAGCTATCTCTCGTGAGTCTTCCGTGGATAGGACGATCCATCATCAATCTTTACGAAAGTAAAATCAAAATATATTTTTATTTTATAAGCCATAAAGGCAGTACAATTTTTTTTTGTTCTAAATATGATCCTTTGAATAGTTTGATAAGTTAGTTTGAATGTACATAATAAAGTTTAAAGTGATTATCTTTTTGTTTAACGAGTTTGTCAGATCAAAAAAAAAATATGTTATTTGTTTTCGATATTACATATATTAAAATTATGTCTGCATTAATAATGATTAATTCATTAATAATTAATTAATTCTATCACACATGTACATATTGTTTGAATGATATTATTATGTGGAATGAAAGATGTATTTATTAATATAACAAGAATTATCTATATCAACTCTACATTCATTATTAATATAAGTTCAGTAAATATACATTTGATCAGTTCTATTGGAAAATCTTTTGTTTTATATATACATATCTTTGTTACATTGCTACTGTTCTGAGTATATTTAAATATGCAAACGCTGTTTTTATTACCTGAAATAATTATGATTGTGATAGATTTATAATTTAATATATTTTATAATAATATTTATAAATCTTTAGGCGTGTGTTGGTGGTAACAAAAGATTTAAAATAATATAAATGTTTTACGATATAATATTTATTATATCTATAAATGACCTAAAGGCGAAACCAAGTTTTTACGAAAAAATTATGAAAAGTCGCTGATATTAAATTCATTCGTTTATTTTAAAATTGTATTTTACTAATAAACTATTAATATAAATTATCGAACAGACTTACATCTCCAAAAGTCGCAATAGATAATTGTATCATTTTTCCGGCAGTTATTTTTATGACGGCATTTGATCTCGAGATTATTAGGATCAAGTCAAGCGCAATTTTATGGTGCAATCGATACCATTCCGTCATGTACGCCATTTCGCCTATTTTTTGACACTATACAAACACTTTGTGTGATCTATACTTTTATATCATAATTATATTTAAAGATCTAATAAATTAAGAGAAATGCTTATATATGTACGATGCAGCTACCTGGTCAGTAAGAATTTCAGCTATGTAACAAAATATAAAAATGTTACATGACATAGCTACAAATATAGTGAAGTATGTAAGCAAATTTTTTATGTCGTGCAATTCCCATTCCTGTAAATAACAACATAGGCGAAAAAAATAAGGAATAATTTTAATATTACCAATGTTATGATGAAAAGATATTCGTAATATATAATATGGCACAACACACACACACACACATTTACATTTTGCAGTTATTGCGCCTTTTTGATATGGAACTTTTTCATACCGTGATTGTATAATATCCGAGCATGCATATATCAGTCGTGCATCCCAATAATTCGACAAGACATATCTGATGCATAACTGTTTCTATTCGCGATACAAAACTGGAATTAAAACAGTATTAAAACTGAAATCATATCATTTTTATGAGATGTTTAGAACATCGAATATTTTTACAGAATAATTTAATATAGTAAAATAGAAAAAAAGTAAAAATAGTAAAAAGAAGTATTAATACAATAAAATTTATAGAAAAATTTAAATGTAAATAACTTTTTTTAAATCGTCAAAACTGTGAAGCTGTTAAATAGTAAAAGCTATTAAATAGTAAAAATAAAAGAAGTTATTTCAAAATGGGTCATTGTATCAATTATAAATATATCTACGTATTTTTTACTTATGGAAAAAATTTAAAAAAATTAGATTTTAGACAAAACGTATTAAAGACCTGATTTTCCGTTTTAGAGTTCGCGTTTTAGCGATACTACCTTAGTACACGTAAATGATGCTCCACGATAGCAACCAGTTTCCGGTGCGTGGTCTCGCGCTTGTCTTTCGTCTCATCGACGAGTTCGTCTAATTTCATCATCAGAATATTTAACTGGCCGCAAGCATGCATAGCAAAAACTGCGGCGAGGCTGCATGCGCCTACCGTGATGGAGTTTACTATGACAGTCGATAGTATTTGGAGGCTGATTATGATCTCGTTCGCCGGACTGTATCTGACATCCACTAGCTCCGAAAGTCGCTGATATTAAAATCATTCGTTTATTTTAAAATTGTATTTTACTAATAAACTATTAATATAAATTATCGAACAGACTTACATCTCCAAAAGTCGCAATAGATAATTGTATCATTTTTCCGGCAGTTATTTTTATGACGGCATTTGATCTCGAGATTATTAGGATCAAGTCAAGCGCAATTTTATGGTGCAATCGATACCATTCCGTCATGTACGCCATTTCGCCTATTTTTTGACACTATACAAACACTTTGTGTGATCTATACTTTTATATCATAATTATATTTAAAGATCTAATAAATTAAGAGAAATGCTTATATATGTACGATGCAGCTACCTGGTCAGTAAGAATTTCAGCTATGTAACAAAATATAAAAATGTTACATGACATAGCTACAAATATAGTGAAGTATGTAAGCAAATTTTTTATGTCGTGCAATTCCCATTCCTGTAAATAACAACATAGGCGAAAAAAATAAGGAATAATTTTAATATTACCAATGTTATGATGAAAAGATATTCGTAATATATAATATGGCACAACACACACACACACACATTTACATTTTGCAGTTATTGCGCCTTTTTGATATGGAACTTTTTCATACCGTGATTGTATAATATCCGAGCATGCATATATCAGTCGTGCATCCCAATAATTCGACAAGACATATCTGATGCATAACTGTTTCTATTCGCGATACAAAACTGGAATTAAAACAGTATTAAAACTGAAATCATATCATTTTTATGAGATGTTTAGAACATCGAATATTTTTACAGAATAATTTAATATAGTAAAATAGAAAAAAAGTAAAAATAGTAAAAAGAAGTATTAATACAATAAAATTTATAGAAAAATTTAAATGTAAATAACTTTTTTTAAATCGTCAAAACTGTGAAGCTGTTAAATAGTAAAAGCTATTAAATAGTAAAAATAAAAAAAGTTATTTCAAAATGGGTCATTGTATCAATTATAAATATATCTACGTATTTTTTACTTATGGAAAAAATTTAAAAAAATTAGATTTTAGACAAAACGTATTAAAGACCTGATTTTCCGTTTTAGAGTTCGCGTTTTAGCGATACTACCTTAGTACACGTAAATGATGCTCCACGATAGCAACCAGTTTCCGGTGCGTGGTCTCGCGCTTGTCTTTCGTCTCATCGACGAGTTCGTCTAATTTCATCATCAGAATATTTAACTGGCCGCAAGCATGCATAGCAAAAACTGCGGCGAGGCTGCATGCGCCTACCGTGATGGAGTTTACTATGACAGTCGATAGTATTTGGAGGCTGATTATGATCTCGTTCGCCGGACTGTATCTGACATCCACTAGCTCCGTGTAAAACGGACACGGCAGCTGGTGCATCGTTATGGTGACGTTGTCGATACGAATGATCACCGGTGTCAGAACGGTGATGATACTGTAGGAGCAGACGCCACCTTGCATGAAGACTGCACAGAAACCGGACACAAATCGGCCGAACTTGGCGTTCCTCAGCATCACTTCGCGATCGCACGTTTTCTTTACGACCTGCCAATCGTCGCGCATATGATCCACGCACTTGCGTATCTCGTAGCTACGAAACAGCAATGAGCAGTAATTCGCGCCGCCCATCAGCCAGTGTATCATCGGACCGAACGCTTTCAGTTTCAAATGCACGTCCGGCTCGAATAAGATATACAGCACACAGGGCACTACTGTAAAGGCAATCAGAGAATGACAGATGAACTGGATGCAGCGCGACAGGAGTTTATCCGCGATCGACGTGTCGGTCCCGGGCCAAGCGCCGATCGGTTTCAGGAACCAGCGATTCAGCTGAATGCTATACTCGCAATCCTGTTCATATGCGATGTTGTGCGTAGGGAACACGCGGAAAGAGCGCGACATGATCGTGACTCGGACGTCTACGGACTATTGAACGACAATGTCTGCAATGGAAAAGACAGTAGAGCTCGTTTTTTCTTCAGCGCTTGCGCTGTTTTTTCAAGAAATATAGTTGATTTAAGAGAAGAAGAAGTTTCTGATTTTCCGGACGATGAAGGGGAAAAAACGATCGATATATGCGAGTTTTACATTTGTATGTGAGTGTAACGTTGATTAAGACTATCCATTGTAGATTATATTGTATAGTCCATACTGTTACTTATTGTTGAACAGGCTGTAAAAGATGGTGCTTAAAAATTATTCTGGACACTACTTTATAACGTGTATAATCATTTTATTAGTAATTTTTGATAAATAATTAAAGCATGAATTATAATTTTTTTAAATGATAAATAGACGGATATATCAGTGTTTTAGAATAATAAAAATTACCGGCAGAGTTAAAAGCAAAATCGGATAAATGCATTTAAGAATTTGAATTACAAATACATGTTCTATATAATATAATCATATAAGCATGGCTTTTTACATATAATATTATATTACGCGATTACACAGTGACTGTCCGCAGCAAATTTAAATACGCCATCGCGGTTCTAACAACCTAGAAAGATTAAATAAAACTTATATGCATAAAATATATATATTTATAGATAAAAATGTGCATTCATAAAGAAAAACGAATTTACACACACATGTAACAATCCGTTTTTATTAATATAATAATTTTAAACATTTATTTTATATATATAATTAAATCTTATTTAATCATAATCATTAAAAGAAGATTTTCTCTATTGTCATATTGCACAAAAGAGATAAAATTGCTTACGGCACCGAAACTGCTGAATGAAAGATCTATCACTTTACCCGCCGTGAGCTTCGTAGGATAATTGGCCATGGCAATCACTAGGATAAGATAACGAGCTTGTTTACTAGGCAGCCAATACCAATCGATTGTACAACAAGTTATGTATACTTTACTCCCCTGTATAAAATATAAGGAGCGCACTTTTATTATTATATTTCTTGTCTTACTATAAATTAATAATTTTTTTTCAATCTGTAATCTTTGTTATTTTTTGTTTTGATATATTTTTTTCGATTATAAATATATTTGATGTTATACCTGTACACATATTTTATCTATGTATCCTACCTGACTACTTAAAATTTCCCCTATGTAACACAATATAAAAATATTAAAGGTAAAAGATGTGAGCATTATGGCATATGTTAGAAAGGAGAGTGCATCGTTCCGTTCCCATCCCTATATAAAACGCATTATTTTATTTAAAAAAATTAAAATTTATGCGTTAAAGATCTGCATGCGATGTAAAAAATCGATTATTAACAAATGTTACTATTATCTTGCATACCGTTATCACGTAATATCCTAGCAGACATAATATTAAAGTGCTGCCAATAATCTCAATAAAACACATGTCTCCTACGAGATTTTGTATGCGATGTAAAAATCTAAAAATCGATATCGTATCGGATAATCTCTATATTATTACACGTACATTAAAGATATTTTGTTTAAGTTAACAAAATATTTTTATTATGAAAATCTTGAATTGTGAAAGATTATTTTAATCTCATAAATAAATGCCAAAATCTTTCTGACAATGAGTTAAATATTCAACAGACAGGTACTTGGAAAGTTGATCTTGAAAAGCATAAAACAATTAATTTCATCACAAATTTTTTATACAAAAAAAAATTGGAAATGCAGAAAAATTGAACTAAAAATTAACACAAGATACATAATGATTTCAGCAGCTCACCTACGTATCCTTATATGATGCATGACGATCGCTGCCAATCTTCGAGCAACGGCATGGTTTTTCGACCACTGATCCTCGTTTGACAGATTTTCCAGCCAAGCGGCCAGCATCTCGAGTTGTCCGCAAGCGTGCATAGTAAACAACGCGGTGACGCCACAAACACTCGCCATAACGACATATATGACGATACCGGTCAATAAATGCATCGAGAACACGATCTCATAAGCGGGACTGTGTTGCGGATCAAAAAAAATGAAGTAATTGCCTTGCACCAACGGTCTGATAGTGATGTTCCCATTGACAACGATCTTGCCGCGAACTATCGGCTGTATCAAACGGTAAGTAAAGCCGCTGGTGAACAGAAATAGCGTAGTGCAAATCAGAATGAAACGCCCGGCTTTCGCCCGATCCAGCATAATTCTACGGTCGTTCGCGTCTCGGACATTTTGCCAGTCCTTCTCTATGTGTTTCACGCATTCCCTGATACTATCCTCCCGTAACATAAGCGTGCAATACATGGCGGGCACCATACTGTAAAAACAGAGCGCACCGACCATTTTCAGTCTGCTCTTGAACGTATCCAAGATCAGAAACATGTACAACGCCCACGGTATCAGGTTGAAGGATAGCAGGAAGCAACACACCGTCCGGAGGACTCCCTTCAAAAGTCTCTTTCGAAGCCGGGGTTTTTCCAAAATCGGCCACACGCCGATCAATCCCAAGATCAGTCTGTGCACTTGCACGGTATATCTTATGTCGTCCTCATAATTGGAATTGTGTAAACCCGCGGATTCGAACATGATATGGACTGGCGTGGAAAAATGAATCCTCTCCCGATATTTGTTCGCGAGACGATTGCACGATCACGACTGACAGACGAAACTACGACAAAACTTGCCGGCTGCATTATGTACAGACACTCTTGCGTCTGCGTCGGTGAATCACCTTCGCAACCACGGTGGTTTGGCGCAGTTAGAAGTTCGGTACTATGGCTTGCGTGTGCGCGATTTTTTGCCGCAAGTAATTACAGGATCGATTCACACAAGACGATCTCTTTGGTTTACGAAAGTACTACTTTTTGTCAGATCATGGGTTTTATAAACGGGTTATGCCAAATTAATAGTGTCATCTGCGTGAATTACTAATGAAGTAAACGGCCATACTCGCGCGATAATTTTTAATATTTAATTTTAAAACTAGATTTTAATAAGTAAATGAATTAGAAAGCTCTGCGTCTGGCTTCTTATAAAATCTCTGGTAAAAATGAAAAAATGAAATTGAAAAGAGAAATATTTGTTGGCAAACCTAATCCATTTGTGTCAAATATAATAACAATTACAGATTAAAATATCTCATACCATTATGGTATCTAAGTAATGGAAGATTCATCGATGTGAAATCATGTGATAAAATTTCGAAGCAGATTAAAGTACGCCATCGATGTTCTGATAATCTATGAAGTAACGAAACAGATTGCGTGATTTAAAGCTGGCAAAAACGAAAATAAAAACGAGAAACTTTTATACTTACATTACTGAATGTGGGTAGAGACATCTCTATCATTCTGCCTGCGGTGATTTTTGCCGGAATATTGGAAACTGCCATTATCAGGATTAAAGTACGAGCTCTTTTATACGGAAGACGATGCCAATTCATCGTAGATGTTATCAATCCAAGCTTGATGCTCTGTCACAATTAGCGATTATATATTTTTGAACAGTGCTCTTGGTGCCTAATTTTCACAGCAAAAATGCAAATATCGTTCAATACCTGATCTGTCAAAAGTTGACCGACATAACAATTAGTAAAAATGGCAATAATGAAAGATGTGAGCATCACAAACATAGTTAACATTGCTGTAGAATCGCTTTTTTCCCATTCCTATACAATTAACATTATAATGTATGAATTTTATTATATAAATTTATAATTATAATAATAAACTAAAATTTTCCATAAATATTATATTAATTATGAATTTCTGTTTGATAAATATCAACATCAAATTGATTATGCAAAATCTCGTGGAAAGTAATTATCATGATTACCATAATAACGTAATATCCCGCGAGACATAAGAGTATAGTAGATCCTACTATTTCCACTAACCACATAAATTGCATAGCTTCCTCTACTTGTTTCAAAAAACTGTAAATGAACGATTTATCTAGTTAACAATTGATAATCTATTTTTAATATCAACAATTGATAATATCTATTTCACAATTTTCTGTTTATAATATTATTACAATATTGGTATATCATTAATAAAATGTTAGAAATAAAAGTCATTGTAGTTTATTATTTGATTTGCAATATTAAAAATTTTCCGATAATAATTTTTATAATAATTATAATTTGAAGAGAGTTACTGCAAATACACACGGACATAGTCATACAAATTCTACAATTTTATATCAATTATATTTTATGACTGACAATTATACTTTATGACTGACTTTTCATTTAATAAAAATTTGAAAAAACATTTTATTTACATGTTAACTTTTCCCCTCTTTCTCACTTAATCATTTTTAAAAACTCACTTTTTTACTCTTATTTGATGTTCCACAATGTCGGCCAGCAAAGTTGCGACAGCTCGATCCTCGGGCTCCGTCATGTTGTTGAGATGCTGCAGTTTGCCGATCAAGATACTCAGCTGTCCGCAAACGTGCATAATGAAGAACGCCGCTAACCCGGCCGGGCCGCACGTCATCGAATAGGTGAGAAACCCCGCGAAAAATTGCAGGATAAAGACGATTTCGTACGCCGGCGAGGCTTGCTCATCGAACTTGACAAAATAACTGGGGCACGCGAGAGCTCTTACCGTAGTGTTCATCGGCGTCAACATTCGTCCTTTCGAGAGCGGCATGATAGTACGATGAGATAGCCCGGCGACGTACATGAAGAGGGCAGAGTAGATGGCAAATTTTCGACCCGTTCTCGCCTTGGGCAGCATCGCTTTCCGATCTGTCCAGTTAACGGCGTTTTGCCAATCCTGTCGTGCCTGTTCCAGGCACGATCGGATTTTTTTCGCATGATAAACGAATAGACTGTACTTCACACAACATATCCAACAGTTCAGAAGTGGTCCCATCATTCTGAACCTTCGTTTAAAATCATGTTCCTTTAGGAATACTAAAAGAAGACCCGGCACGATAATAAACGCAAATAAAAAATAACAAACAACAATCTGCAAACGGATGGCGATTTTTTCCGCGTTGGATGCGAATCTCGAGATCGGCCATATACCGATCATTCGCAGAATAACGCGAGTCACTTGCACCGCATAATTGAAATGATCTTCGTTCGCTCGAATCGTTTTCGATGAACGTTCCGCGATTAGATTCATTGCTGACAGTATTTTAATGTTTGTTAAATTGAAATTTTACACGTAATGAATTTGATCGCGAATTTTGCGCTTGCCACGTCTTTTTCCTGGCGGTTGAGAATTTTCGTTAATTTAATTTTGCCAACAACGTTACCGTATTTCGGGTTTACGGACAACAGATGGTCAGGCGGGGCTAGAAGCTCGAGCATGACTGAACAGGTGTGTGTAATGATAGATGGTCTCTCTCTTTCTGGAGAAAGAACAATAGGCAGAACAATGCGCTTGCGTGCACGAAACGGCTGCGCGTAATAAAGGGGCATAAAGGAGATTGCGAATTTAACGTACCACACTTCCGGATAAATGCGACGGTAAGCAAAGGGAAGACCGTTATACGTGACACCATACGGTAATTTTCAAGGTTTGAATTTACGATTTAGAAGAATATGCATGTAAGTAAAGCATCACGAATCATTACCATTTGTTAAGGAATTTGTTATGTTGATACTGTCTTATTTAATTATAAATTATAAGCGACAACTATAATATAATTATATAAAAGTATACAAATGTAAAAGAAAATAAGTTTACATACAATTTCTAGTATAAATGAGAATAAAAGAATTTGGAAGTGTTTGTGCTTGCGTTAATTAATGCTACAAGCGGTGCTATTTACATTCGACAGAAATTTATAGATTTCAGTTTAGATTTTCTACGGATGGCTTTTTACTTCCATTGTTTAATTAACTGCTGTTCCAATATTTAAATACTGGTTGCACGTAATATATTTAAATATGCCACCGATGTCCGTACGATCTAAAATATAACACATAATTATATGTTTGATTCAATATTTTGTGATTAATTAAAATTTACAAGACAAAGCTTTATCTGTAATCTTTCAAACTATATATATGAGAAATGAATGAAATAGGAACACTTACGGCACCAAAGCTATTGAGAGATAGATCCATAAATTTTCCCGCAGTAATTTTAACAGGTACACTAGATACTGCAATCACTAAAACGAGACCGCGAGCAGTTTTGTGAGGGATGCGATACCAATCGAGAGTACAGGAAGTAATATACATTTTCATGCTCTATAATTGTATGAAACCAATCAACGACTTTTGGTATTTTTATTAACGTAAGTAATTATTATTACTCAATACCTGGTCCGTGAGAAGCTCACCGATGAAGCATAATATGAAAATATTAAAGATGAATGTTAAAAGAAGTATAGTGTATGTCGTCATAGACACCGCATTTTTATCTTCCCACTCCTATAAAACGTCCATCAAATATATCTTTTACACTGTTAATGACATTTCCAATTTTTTATATCATACTAATTTAAAATAAATCTCGCGTACCATTATTATATAATATCCGAGAAGGCACAAGATGAGCGTGCATCCGACTACTTCTACCAGACACGTATATTGCAAAGTTTCTTCTGCTTTGCTTAAAAAGCTAAGATGATATTAATGAAAGTATTTTATTTTTATTAATCTCTTGTTTATATTCACAAAGCAACATGTTATAATAATTTTTCGCATACAATTCAATTGACGTGCTCGATCGCAATATTATATTACCTCTTAATCCTGATATGTTGCCTTACAACAGCCGCCAGTTTCCGATTGGCGTTTTTGTCGCGAAAGTGTTTGATCTGCGTGAGATCTTCCATCTTGGCGATAAGAATTTTCAGTTGGCCACAGGCGTGCAGTACCAGAAGAGCTGCTAGACTGCAGGCACCACTGGTTACCGAGTACTGCACGAATCCGCAGAGAAACTGAATGGTGAAGATAATTTCGTAAGCAGGTGTTTTTTGCGGGTCTACGAACACGTAATAACCGTCGAATCCCATTGGTCTGATCGTTAAGTTTTGCGGCGTAATGATAACCCCGCGTGACAAAGGCATAATTGTACGATACGAAAAACCGCTACCGTAGACGAAAGCTACACAGAGAATTGCGAGGCTGCGGCCGATTTTTGAATTGTTCATCATAATCCTGCGGTCTTCCGCCAGGTTTACCTTCCTCCAGTCTTCCTCGATGTGCCTGATGCATTCCTTGATGCGGTCGCCCCGGCAAATTAATGCCGCGTGCTTCAGCACGGCCATCAGACAGTTGCACATAGGACCGATCATTTTGAGGCGACGACGCGTGTTCGTCTCCTTGAGAAACATTTTCAACACTCCCGGCACGAAGATGAAGTACAGTAGAGCCTGGCACAGAATTCTGAGCATCCTTATTCGGGCGATCCTGAAAGCGGACGAATCATCTTGCGACGGCCATACGCCGATCAAATTTAAAACACAGCGTGGCACTTGAACGGTGCGTCTAATGTCGTCGCGATGAAAAGTATTTGTTTGACGGTCCATTTGATCCAAACGCTGTTAAAGAACTGATCAACGCACCGACAGGAAATGTAACGGCGGTGCGCTTGCGTCTCTGATCAAAGCGGAAGAGAAGTGGGATCGGTAGTAGGAATAGCGATTATTATCCGCAATCTTCCTTCTCTTTTATAAATCATAGAAAAGTTGCAAACATCGAGGATATTTGAAAAAGGAGGCATTACAAAGTTACGGACGTATAGTGACTTTAGAAAGCAGCACGCACGAGAAAATAGAGAGAAAAAATAGCAAGTACGGTGGAAAAAAGTATATTGATCTTTTGATGACAATGCACGTGTTCCGTGCTCAGTGACTACTTTACTACAACAGATTAAGATAAAAATATAAGGTTGAAATAAAGAGATCATATAGAGATTGCGTGCTATATAACATGATAATTCATAAATGGCAATTTCCTTCAGAAACTAAGGTAAAGAAATAATGAAAAAAATGTCATATAAGTAATTAAATGTTATTAAATATTGTTATTTATTATTGGCTATCAAAAAACTCATTATGTTCTGATTTATGAAATATCTTGTTTAATTATAAATTATACAACATGTTCTGTACAGTTTCTAATATAAATGAAAATAAAAGAATTTGAAAATGTTTGTGCTTGCGTTAATTAATGCTATAAACGGTGCTATTTATATTTGACAGAAATTTATACCCACAATCTTTCTTCTCTTTTATAAATCAAGGAAGAATAGCAAACGTCGAGGACATTCGAGAAACCAAGTATCGCAAAGTTACGGACGTATAGCGACTTTAGAAATCAGCACGCACGAGAAAATAGAGAGAAAAAATAATAAGCTTTCGGCAGAAAAATGGTAATGTATTGATCGTTCGATGACAGTATATGTTTATTTGTTCCGCCTGTATTCAATGACTATTTTACTGTCAAAAGTTAAGAAATATAGAATCATATAACAAAAATCAATTGAGATACGGAACACGTAATAATTCATAATTATATTTTTAAGAAACTAAGACAAAAATTGTGTGATAATTTATATTAATTTCTCCGTTTCTTATGCCTCAAGTCATTCAAATAAAAAGTTAAAAGTAATTGAATACATATTAATGATATTATTATCATATTAATGTATCATTCTATAAATAGAATATATTCGAAACCATGAGAAGACATTTTATATTTTGCGGAAAATATTCAAGGATATGCATTTATAATAAGAAAAAGTTATTTGCATTTAATATAATATTTTTACTACTTTTTTCTATTAAATAATAAATAATTCTACTGAATAACAATCTATGATTAGAAAGAAATATGCATCAAATATTTTATATATATATAATCATGTATATATCACTTTAAGAATTACTTATTCCATTACTTTCCGAATAAGATTCAAGTATGTAACAGCCGTTTTAACGACCTAAAATATAATATGTGCGTTGCAGACTTTTTACGTAAAATCAGATTTTTTTTAAAGGGTCTAGTCTTTTTATAAAGCGTATATCAGTATTTTATTAAAAAAGCCCAAATTTTTAATAAAATAATTAAGTTTATAAAAAGTTTTATTGTTAATCATCTTTTACTAATAAACCTATTACTTACATCACCGAATGTTTTGATAGAAAGATCGATAAATTTTCCAGCTTTAAGTTTTGTAGGAATATTCGACATGGCTATGACTAAAATCAGTGCTCGTGCTTTCGCATCCGGAAGACGATACCAAGCCAATGTACACGCCGTAAGTGCCAATTTTTCTCCCTATTTTTATTAGCAAAATACGTCAAATTAATAAAAATAATAATCGGAAAAATAAAGCTTCTCAACAGATTCACGTCTCGCTTTTTGTATCTCAATTAACACAATATTACTTGTATAATGTATTTGTAATATAATGTACATACCTCTACAGAGAGTTGTTCACCGATAAAACAAAAAATAAAAATGTTGAATCCAATCGATGTTAATAGAACGAGATATGAAAACATAGCTATAACATTTTGATCTTCCCACTCCTGTAAAGTCGATAATTATTTATATAAATTTTACATATGCAAATAATAAAAAAACGTACACATATTTTACACAAATGTAAAATCATGCGAACTTTTTATCATTAGTTATTTAGGATATACCGTAAGAATATCGTGTCCTAAAAGGCATACAATTATCGTACATCCCATCACTTCTAACAGGCTCGTGTATTCCAAAGTATCCTGCACCAATTGTAAGAAACTATAAAGGGATGCGCGCAAGGTATAGATTTTTATCAGAAAACTTTGTTGATCTAATATATTAGAAAAGAGCATAAAAAGCTAATAAAATAAAAAAGATAATGTTATATTTCAACTTCATAGAAAATTTATAAGGAAGAGAAAAGAATGCAGATAGATATATAGATATGATAAATGAGACAGAGATACTGCAAAATTTACCTTCGCATCCTGGTTTGATATTCCACAGTCACGGCCAGCCTATTATCCAGATTCTTTTCTTCGGGCTCGTTTATCAAATTGTTCAGTAACGTCATTAATATTTCCAACTGCGCGCATAGATGCATAGCAAAGAGCGCGGCGAGACTGCAGATGGCCACTGTGATGGTGTATTTTATAAATCCGGAAATGAACTGTATGAAAAAAATGATTTCGTAGGCGGGACTGATTTGCCCGTCAAAGAGAATGAAATAGCTCGGGCATGGCAAGTGCCTGATCGTAATGTTCCGATCGTTAACGCTCAGTACATAAATAAACCGCATAAGAGGAGCAAGCGTCTCGCGGTTTTGGTTCTATCAATCATGGATTTACGAGCGCTCGCGCTTGCGACGTTTTGCCAATCGGTTCTCACTCGTATCAAGCAGTTTTTCACTCGATTCTGGCTAAACACCAGGCTGCTGTACTTGAGCACCGCTAATATCGTAAACATCACGGACGATAAGAGTTTCAGTCTGACGCGAGTACGTTTTTCGATGTTAATTACGTACAAGATTGTCGGAATTAACTCGCAGGCGAGGAGCAAATAGCAGCCCAGGATGAGCAAGATTTTGCTGAGATTTTCGAAAAACGACGGCTCGATGTCCATGCACGGCCAGATACCCAATAGACGAAAAACAAAACGATTTAATTGCATGGTATACTTTATATCGGTTTCGTAATTTTTATTCGCAAACATTTTTAAGTTTCTATTAAATATTTTTGTGAGCACGACGTTATCGAAGAGCAGAATTTTATCGTTCGGAACGTGATATGCGTGAAAGGATGAGTGTAATGACAAAACGTGTGCTTTTTCATCACTGACTCAGACGAGCTATCGTTTAACCTGAGGATAACTCGGTGCATAAAGTGCGCTTGCGTTCCGAGCGATTGACAAGTCACGTCAAACGTATAGATAATAATGAGTGTTCAGAGTTCTTGAAAAAGCATAGCAAAGTTTGAAAATGAAGTAAATTATGGAGACATTTTTCCATGAAATTTATTCTTATCCGTCAACAGTTCATTGACGTTTGTAGTTATTGCCAATGTAATTACGTTTCACAAATAGAACACTTCTCTTTAAAAGAAATATTGGGAAATATTCTCGACGTTCTACAGAAAAGTATTAGCCATATGAGTGAGACATTATAAGCTTTTGATTTATCAGATAATAATACATTTTGCACATTGCATATATCGTCTTGGCTATGCAGTATCATTAAGAAAAGTATATTTGAATAGCAAGGATTTTACATCGTATGTATTCTCCCATTCTAACTTTTTATATTTTGTATGTAAAAATGAAGCTTTTTACTTACATTTACAAAACCCATTGTAATTTTTCTTATGAAAATAATTAATTATATTTTAATTGTGCAAAATATTATTTGGTAGATTATCAGTTTAAATAATAATGTAAAAATAAAAATGTATTTTTTTTATCCATCAACATTTACTGGCTTGCGTAATAAAGAAGAAAGTTATCATATATAATTTTGTTACAATATGTAATCTTTTTTTTCTTGTCTTATAACTTGCTATTGTTAGAATTATAATATCGTGTTTGCCAGGAAAAGCTTTTTATATCAATATGTTATACACAGAATAAAATTCTATATGGAATAATAATATTATTTATATATTACACAAATTAAGCTTTTTTCGGTATTCGACACGTATATATTAATTCTCAAAATATTGTTTTACCGATACATATAAATATAGCCTGCATCATAATTTCAGTAATTGGAATATTTATTCGGTTATACTTTGTAGCATATTAAAATATGCACCGGCTGTTTTCATCACCTAAAGAAAACGTACATTTATATGTTTATTTTTCTAATTCAGTCTTTATAGAAAAAAAAAACATTAATAAAGTGCAAACGGAGTAGATATTTTATAAAACTGAGATATATGTATGTACAGATTTATGTATAAAAATATATAATTAAATCGTGATAAAATGCGGATAATTATGTATTCTATATAAATCTTTAAAAAAGATATTTGCTTAAAAAAGATATACAATGCATAAAGATTTTATCCAAATTTTTGTAAACAAATATAAAAAAATGCGTTGGAATTAGAATTATTTTACTTGGCCGAATGTTTGGAGTGACAAATCTATGACTTTTCCAGCGGAAATCTTGGTCGGCGTATTAGACATAATCATCAGCAACACGACACTGCGTGCTTTTCTGTCCGGAAGACGATACCATTCGAGTTCGCAGGATACAGTAGCAACTCATTCCGCCTGTCATTAATATTATTGCATAACACAAAAGATATTATTAAAATATTTTAATAAAAAACAGTGCAAAATATTTCCAATTTTTTTTCTATGGAATAAAGTCTATTTTCAGCATTTTGAGAAATTTAATTCATAATTCATTAATAATTTTATTCATAGAGGAATATATTATATTATTTGTGGAAAATACGTTTAATTATTTATATTCTATTATTTTATAGATGTATTATAGCCAGCATGAATGCCAAAGACATTAATACAGATCAACGTATACCTGTACGGTGAGCTGTTCGCTGGTATAACAAAACATAAACACGTGAATCGTCACGTTTGTAAGACATAATAAGTAAGTACATACAGCTGCTGTATTATTACTTTGCCATTCCTATAAATAAAATATTTGTATATAACAAATACAATATCATTGCTTGATTGCGAAATTTATAGTGTTTTTTTACAAAAAAATAAATTTTGTACTTAAAATATGACTTATTTTGAGTTTGAAGATGAATTATTTAATCATTAATAAATCTCTAGCTTTAAAATTTTTATCGCACGTGCGATTCGCTTTTTATATTTCTATGAAATCAATTGACAAACCATCAACATGAGATACACCAGAACGCAGATAGTTATCGTATTTGTCATTATTTCCATCAAACATACATGGTGCATAGTATGCTGCACCAAACACAAAAAACTGAAATGTCATTATCGATGATAGCAAACATAACGACGATACAGAAAAATAGAGCTAGCTATCAATCGCAAAAAAAAATAAAATTTGTAATATTAAAAATCGGTGAAACACAAACTCACTTGCGTACTCTTATTTGATGCTCGACTACCTCAGCCAATTTGCCGTCCACTTCGTATTCCATTCACCACTGCTTCTCAACGAGTTTCTTCATCAGATTTATTAGGATCTTGAACTGACCGCAAGCATGCACCACAAAGATAGCCGTGAAGCCACATGCGCCCGTCGCGATCGAGGCTGAAACTAAGCCAGATAGGAACTGGATCGCGAACAATATTTCGTAAATGGGGCTGACTTGCACGTCGATCGAAAAATAATAACCGGGACATGCCAATGGCCTGATTGTGACGTTGTCGTTGGTGACGAACGTTCCCTGGGACAACGGCAGAATCGTTCGAAAGGTGAGAGCACCGCCGTACATCAGGACACCGCAAAAGGCGACCAGTTGTCTTCCGGTCCTGGCGGATGTGAGCATCATGTTGCGCGCATCAGTATTGATAACGTTTCTCCAATTGTCTTCAACATGCTTCAAGCATTGACTGATCGTCCCGAAATATGAAGATGCCGTATTGGCCGGCGGCCATAAAATTGTAAAGGAGAACAGGGATTGATTTGAAGTCGAACACGCATCGTTTTCTCCATTATCCAATAAAAGATAGCGAGTATTAAATCACAAGAAAGAAGGATGTAAGAGACGGAGATTAATAGGAGCTTGTAAAACTTTTTGCAAATGGATTTTTCTCTACCGATAGAAGGCCAGACACCGAGCGCTCGAATAATATTGCGAGTCGGTTGCGTGATGTATATGATATTGTGACGGCAATCCTCTTTGCCTGACATCTTTCTATGTACTTTGCAGAATGCTTTACGATACTCTTAGACTTCATTCGTAGTTTCCTACGAGTAATGCGGAATCTACACGCGAGCGGATTCTCGACTGATCATCGAAGAGAGAAAAGGTTGATCGTAAAATAAACTTGCTTGTGCTTGCGCGGATTAAAAATTTAAATGTTACGTGAGGAAGAGAGATAGTAGCGATAAAGTTTGCAAATACAATTGTTCAAGGGAGACTATCTATGGGAAATATTCTTATCTGTGTGCAAACGCGTTTATCATCCTTTGTAGCGACTAGAAAAATATCATGTTTGTATCTTCCTATATCGTAACTTGTATAATTTTATAGCAATTTTAATTCCGATCACGAAGTGATAATTTTGATTGCATTTTGTTAAATATTCTGATTCATATATGTTCTAGTATCAATTAATATTTTTCTAATTATGCAACAAAAAATAAGATATATTATTTATTTCTTGTAAATAAAAAATACATGTTAATAAATAATATAAACTATTCAATAAAATAACTATATTTCAATGTTTGTGGTAAATATTTTACATTTATATTTATAGAATTAAAATGTTATATTCGATTCTATGTATATACTAGTGATTCAATATATAATCAATATATCAACTATATTTAGTTTTCATAATCTCGATTATTAGAACTTAAACATTTATTCGATTATACTTCGGAGCATATTAAAATATGCTCCAGATGTTTTCATGACCTAAAACATATTTAATTGATCATTGTTTTAATAAATTCTCATTATAATAATTCTCATTACACAATGCTTTTTAAAAAAAGATTTTAGCTAACAATTATATATATTTATGAACATAAAATAATTCATTATTTTTAATATTTGTATAATTAGCATGATGAGAAACGGACGGTTAAAAGACTTTGTAAAAAATTTCAATCTTCTGTGATCTTTTTTTGCAAACTTATACAAATCAAACACCCTAATTTAAATATTTTAATCTTTTTACTTACATCACCAAATGTCTTGAGTGACAAATCGACAAATTTTCCAGCGGAAATCTTGGTTGGCGTATTAGACATAATCATCAGTAATATAACGCAGCGTGCTTTTCTGTTCGGAAGACGATACCACTCGAGTTCGCAGGATGCAATGGCAACCTTTTCCGCCTATCGTTGATTTATCACACACACGTAGCAATGGCCACAAAATTTGTTTTCATCAAATTTTTATTTGCTATTTCAAAGATAGTGCAACACACATTTTCTCTATATATTTTCTTTGTATTTTTAATTTAAAAAATTCATAAAAATAAAGTATATATTTTAGTGTATGTAATAATAACTTTTACAAAATATTTCCTCAAAATTGTAAGTATGCAATTTCATTTATGTAATAAATAAATTATTTTAATTGATTTCTATCATAAAACATACCTGATCGGTAAGGTGTTCACCAGTATAACAAAATATAAACATATGAATTGCCACGTTCGTAATGCTTAATAAATAAGTGCATAAAACTGCTATATTCTTACTTTGCCAATCCTACAAATATAAATGTTTTATACATATAGCATAGATTATGATTACTAGCTAGTTGCAAATTTTAAAATAACTTTTTGTTACTGAAACATGTATCATCACATAAAAATTTGAGATTAGTATTAATAAGTGAATATCAGAATTTCAAATTGCGAGTGATTATTTAATTTTTGTCATTTATTCTATTTGTATATATTATGCCCAAATAATTAATTAACTTTTTTATTAAAATTAATTGTACGACTTACGAACCACTATCATAAAATATAACAAAAGGCAGATGGCTATCGTATTCACCATAATTTCTATCAAATATATTTCCTGCAGAGTATGCTGTACCAATTTTAAAAAACTGAAATGCAATTACCAATGAAAAATTAATATTATTAACATGAATGAAAAAACAGAATAATCAAAGAGAGAAAATTATTAACGGCAAGCGTGCAACAAGTTTATTATTAATAGATACATATTTATTTAATCAATATTTTGAATTAACTTATTAAAAAACTAAAGACGTAAATAACATTCGAAAATTGCAGACTTACCTGCGCACTCTTATTTGATGCTTGACTATTTCACCTAACTTCTTATCCACTTCACGCTCCTCTCTCCACGGTTCCTGCACGAGACTTCTCATCAAACCGATCAAGATCTTCAGCTGGCCGCAAGCATGCACCACGAAAATCGCTGTAAGGCCGCATGCACTTATCACGATCGAAACCATAACAATACCTGTTAAACACTGAATTGTAAAGAGTATCTCATAAACAGGACTGACGTACACGTTGAGAGAAAAGAAGTAACCCGGACAGGCAAGGGGTCTTATTGTAATGTTCTGATTAGTAACGGTTTTTCCTTGGGATAACGGCAGGATAGTTCGAAAGGTAAAGGCACCAGTGTACATAAAAATTCCGCAAATTGTAGCCAGACGCTTGCCCGTCTTCGCGGATTTCAACATAATTTTACGCGTGTCCGTACTGATAATGTCCTCCCAATCCTCCTCGACATGCTTTAAGCATCGCCTTAGCTGATCATGACGAAATATAAAGATGCCGTATTGACTGACGGACATGATGTCGTAGAGAAGGAGAGGAATCGTCTGGAGTCGAATGCGCGTCGATTCCTCCATCAGCCAATAAAGGATACCGGGTATAAGATCGCAGGAAAGGAGAGTGTAGGTGATACAAATCAGCAGAAAGTTGCAAGCTTGCGGACGCACGGATCTTTCTCGACCGATGGACGGCCAGGCGCCAAGTGCAAACAAAATGTTGCGAGTTGGTTGGGTGATGTATAAAATATCGTCCTGATGACGCTCGTTACGCGGCATTTTTTTCGATAAATTTAAAATATTTTACTGTACTCTCAGACCTCATCCGTTGCGTTAAACTACGTTTAATACTGGACGCGAGCGGAATCGCGACTGATCATTGAAGGGCAAATCTGATCATAAAGTCAACTCAATTCTCGTATGCGCTTGCGCGTCTGAAACATTCAAACGTTGCGTGAGGAAGAGAAATAGAAGCAGTGAAGTTCGTAAATGAAGTTACTCGTCAAGAGCCGAGATCGTTTTCCATGAAAAGTATTCTTACTTGTCTACGTTTATTGACTTTTGTAGCGGCCAGGAAAATCATAATGTTCAATTTTTTTTTCTTCCTATATTTTGCGATAGTAACGTTGATCAAGAAGTGATAGTTTTGATTTTATTGAAAAGCCACGTCAAGTGAATAGCTAATATTGTACGTACGAAACTTTTGAAAGGAATCGAAAGGGATTGCACGCAGATCTATTTATATGATTATGCTTCGTTATAGGGAGAGAAAGTTCTCTTGTTGAAGTCACAAAAAGGTTGATATTCTGTGAAAAATGATATCAGTGTAAATGTAATGCGGTTGTTGACTTGGTAAAATATCTGCAATGACACAAAGTAATTATGCTTGTCGTATGATTACATCCTGTATAATAAAAACAAAATTCTATTGCATATAGCCACACAATCATTGTAATTTCTCAGTCAAAATATTAAGAATATTAAAATAATATTTAACGAATAATAAAAAGTAATGATAAATTAAAAAATGGTATGCATTGCTTCAAAGATTTAAATATTACAAATATATAAGACTTTCAAATGTAATGTTTTGAAGAAAACTGTGAGACTATTGTATATTTTATCTTTTTGGGAGAACAATATTAAAAAATTACTTAATCTTTTCCACAAAAAGGAGAATTATACAATTATAATTATACAAGAATATATTTAAAATTCAAAACACACATCTTGTATATATATGTATATCGCTTCTAATTTTTATAATTTTACATGTCATATAATATACGATATGATATTATTGACACGATGCGTAGTTTAGATTGTTTCAATGATTAGAACTGAAATATTCAGTCAGTTACATTTCGAAGCATATTAAAATATGTCACAGCTGTTTTAATGACCTAAAACAAATTAATAGATAGTGTGTTAGTTTAATATAACGAAAAGTAATTATAATGTGTAACATATATATATACTTCTTACATCACCAAATGTCTTAAGTGACAAGTCCACGATTTTTCCTGCGGTAATTTTGGTAGGTAAGTTAGACATAATTATTACTAATACAATCCCGCGCGCTTTTTTGTCCGGAAGACGGTACCACTCAATCTCGCACGATGTATTAGCCACCTTTTCCGCCTATTATAGATATCATATACATAATATTTAATTTAATGTAGCAACATATTTCATGCATTTAAAAATTATTTAAGAAATTTAAATATTCTTGTTATATTTTTATAATATATATGTGACAAGAATGATTTCTCTACAACAGATAAAAATTATAATTTATAAAATAACAAAATGATCTGATATTTGAAGTTATTACAAATGTGCGTAGTGAATATACCTGAGCTGTGAGTTGTTCACCGGTATAACAGAACATGAACACGTTTATTAACATAGACGTAAGCGACATAAAATAAGAACATGTAGCTATTGTATTGCTTTTCTCCCACTCCTATAAATGTAGCACTTTTTATATAAATGTCTTTTTATAATAAAAGATATAAAATATAGATTACTATTTTGTTTAATTGTTTCAACACTTTTACAATTCTTAATTTTATATTTCATTAAATACATCAAAAAAAATGTTTTTGTTTTATTATTGAAGAAAGTAGAGTAATTTACAAACCACTATTATGCAATATCCTAAATTGCAAACAATTATCGTACATCCCATCAATTCTATCATACATACTTGTTGCAGGGTATGCTCTACCAATCGCAAAAAACTGAAATATATCGATATTTCACACTAAACCGATATTTTTATAAAATGAAAGAATAGAGTTAAAAATTATATACCATATATTAAATACGATATTAATTATTGATCAACGATCAATCATTTTTATAATGATATATATTTAATAAGACTTACAAATCGAGAACTTACTTTCGTATTCTTATTTGATGCTCCACTACTTTAGCCAGTCTTCTATCCACTTCTTGTTTTTCTTGCCATTCCTCGACAAGACGTTTCATCAAGTTTATCAAAATTCTCAGCTGACCGCAAGCATGCATGACGAAGACGGCTGCGAGGCCACATACGCCCGTTGTGATTGAATAAGTAACTAAACCTGATAAGAACTGCATCGCAAAAATCATTTCGTAAGTAGGACTGAGTTGTGAATTGAAGGAAAAAAAGTAACCCGGACAGGGTAAGGGTCTGATCGTAATATTCTGCGCGGTAACTATCTTTCCCTTAGCAAACGGCAAGATCGATCGGAAGGAGAGTCCGCTGCCGTACATGAACGCTCCGCAAAGTGCAACCAAACGTCTTCCCGTTCTCGCTGATTCGATCATTGTGTCCCGTGCTTCCGTGCTAGCAACAATCTTCCAATCTTCCTCAATGTGTTTCAAGCATCGCCTGACTTGATTCTCGCGAAATATTAAATTACCATATTTACTTGTGGCCATGAAACAGTAGAGAAGCATAGGAAATGTTTGAATTCGGATACGTGTTCTCTTCTCGATTAACCAGAAGAGGATACCGGGAATCAGCACGCAGTAAAGAAGAGCGTAGGAGACACAGATTAATAAAAACTTTAAAAGTCTTTCGCCGATAGATTTTGCTCTGTTGGAAGACGGCCAGACTCCGAGCACGCTTAGAACGTTACGTGTTAATTGCGTGATGTATACAATATCATCCTTATAAAGTTTGTTAGACAACATTTTTTGCGGATTTTATTCTCGCACAAACTGAGTTACGATTGACTGTTAAAAGAAGGGCTGACGTCGAGGTAAACTTGCCATCAAGATGCGCTTGCGCGCTTTAAGAATTCAAATGTAAAGTAGGGAAATCAAAAGCCATAAAGTTTGCAAGTGAAATGATCGGGAGTTGAAAACCGAGATTGTATTTCTACGGAAGTTATTTTCAATTTTCATACAACTTTCAACTTTACAACAGGAAAACATTTGCGTTTAACTTCTTTTCTCTTTCATCGATATATTTTTACAAGGAAATGAAATAGCGCAAACAAGAGTCAGCTGACATTTTTTCAGATTATCAAGAAATGAAAATTTTATTTTTACGTGTAGCCAAATAGTTGATCAATATTTATTTTCTTAGTTTTAGATGAATTTTGTGATGTGCTTTTTATCTAAATATTTTCATTACTTTGTGGTATAAATTTTTATGTATATGATAAGAAACGCAAAATGATGAGATATTTTTATATGATTGACTGGAGTAAGTGTAGCAAACAATCCTTGAAGCTTGTTACATGCATTTGTCAATTGATTTATACACTGAGCTTCGAATATGATTTGAACGTCTGTATACATATATAAATGCATTTAATATTTTATCCAGAACAGATATTTGAAATAAAGAGTCATTAATCGCATTATATGTGACATGATTGCTCATTTCATATTACTACTTTTATTTAAAATACAAAATTTTTCATTGTTACTTTATGTATTCATTTACGACTAATTCTTAAGATTCATTCGAATGATCGAAGAAGATTTAAATATGTCACTGCCATTTTGATGACCTAAAATAAATATATTTCTACATATTTATCGCTTATATTTATCGTTTTTTCTTCTCAAAGAATATTTTTATTATTAATAATGATAACGGTATCCATTATACATTTTAAAAAGACAATTATTACTTACATTGCCATACGTTTTGAGAGAAAGATCGATAAATTTCCCTGCTTTTAATTTTACTGAAGTGTCCGAGATAGCCATGATTAAAATCAATGCTTTTGCTTTCTCATTCGGAAGACGATACCATTCTAATGTGTACAGCGTTAATGATATTTTCTTTTCCTAATTTCATTAATTAGTTATACGCATCAAAAATGAAATTTAAACAAATAATATTTTGCACATATTCCATTTCATTATCTATTAAATACTTTACGATTATTTTTTCCATCGATAACGAAATTACAATTTGAAAACACATACCTGTTCGATGACGTGCTCGCCCATATAACAATAGATAAATACGTTGAATAAAAGCATCATTAATCCAAACATATATGAGCATAGACGTACAGCATTAAGGTTTTCCCATTCCTGTAAATTCAGCAAATGCCTTAATATTTCTTAGAATATTACAAAGCTGTTTTCTGTCAAACATCATATAATATTCTCTTGTCTAAATTCTCTTAAAATTTGCTATTATATAGATATTTGCGCACCATAATAACATAATATCCTGCAAAGCATACCAGTATGCTAGATCCTAGAATTTCTATTAAACTTGGATATTGAGTAGCATTCTGCACCAAATGTAAAAAACTAAAATTTACGAGAAGATTGTGAATATTGTTCTTAATCGAAAAGTGTCAATCATGTGTTTAATAATCAAACAGTTTATCAAATCCATCTATTTTACATATAATAAAATGTTGTCATGTATTAAATTATAAAATACTCTTTCTTTTTAATAAATATTATAAAATGCTCTCTCTCTTTAATAAATATAATAAATATATAAGATTTACAAATATTAACAAAATCATCGAAATGTTATATAAATATGAGCAAAGAAAAACTTACTTTCGTGTCTTGATTTGATGTTCCACGATAATAGCCAATCTCTTGTTTAAATATTTTTCTTGGCGCTCATTTACAAAGTTATTTATTAATGTCACTAATATATCCAGCTGCGCGCAAAAATGCATCACACAGAGAGTTATGAAGCCGAAAGTTGCCACTGTAATTGTGTACCTTACAACTCCCGTAAAGGATTGTAAAAAAAATACGATTTCGTAAGCAGGACTGCGCTGCACATCAAAGATGATAAAATGCGCCATGGATTGCAGAGGTTTAATTGTGACATTTTGAGGGGTGACGATCTTCCCATGTGACAGCGGCACGATAATCCGTATAGCTAGGCCGTTTAAATACACGAATACGGCGCATATTATGACTAAACGTCTACCAATTTTTACTCTATCGATCATCGAGATGCGAGCACTCGAGTTGTCGACATTTCGCCAATCCTTATCAACTAGCTTCAAACAATTTCTTACTTGATTCTTGTAAAGCAAAATATAGCCGTATTTGATAGTCGTGACTATTGTGAATAGCATAGTGCCCACAACTTTAAGTCTCAAACGATTGTCTTTCAGGACTACGAATATATAAATCATTGTTGGTACTATTTCAGAAAAAAGGAATGTAAAACACGCGATGATCAACAGGGTTGTCTCCACAATGTCGGGAAGAAAGAAATTCGTGCGCGCGAATGGCCACATACCTATTAGACGGAAAAAGAAGCGATTTATCTCGAAGGTGTACTTTATATCGCTTTCGTAATACTTGTTGGCAAACATATTGGGATTGATTCTACAACTTATATTTAAATAATATCTCTCAATTTTGTAGCGCGATACTATACAACAATGTAACACGCAACATTTCTGTAACGTGTGTAATGCTGAAACAATGCGTGTCTGTTCGTTACTGACCGTAGCATATCCTTTGTTGGACAAAAGCATAATTTATATTTATTTGCGTGCGCCTGCGTAGAAGAACTGAAAAGCCACGTCAAGCAGATGGTTAATATTGGATGTGTTGAAACTTTTGTAGGGGTTGCATGCAGATCTATTGATAATTTTTTTTTTTTCTGAGGGAGAGAAAGTATTCCCTCGCTGGAAGTCAAAAGAGGATTAATGTTGTGCAAAGAAACTTATTTGATGATAGCAGTAAAAAACTAGGTTGTTGACTACGAATAATTCACTAATACTTTACTTTACTTGCGTGTGCAGAAGTCAATGAGTATGTAAAGCGCAGTATCATTTTAATATATTTTTTGATCATGTAAAATTATATTTATATTACTGCTTATATTTTCTTAAATTCTTATTCGTTGTTATTTATTTCATAACATGATAAAATAAAAATATAAAGATTTATGTAAAAATATAAAATAGTAATTGCACATTTATCATAATACTGATTTCTATAAAAATTTAATTGTAGCTGTCTGTATTTTGCAAAATTCTCTGTGTGCGCATTTTTTTGTAGAAGAGATATAATTAAGGGGCGCGAGAATAAATATATCATATATGTTCATATATCAAACTTTTGTTTTGTCTGATATATCATAAAAGTGTATACACGATACAACGATGTTACTATTACAATTGCCCAGATGATTTCGACGATTAGAACAAAAATATTCATTCAATTACGTTTCGAAGCATATTGAAATATGTTACAGCTGTTTTTACAACCTAAAAAACAAAACCGACCAGGCTAGTCGCGTTAATAGAACACAAAGATTAAATACAATTATAATGTGTAGTACATATGTAAGATATAAAATAATAAATTATTTTAGTGTATATGTATATGTATATAAAAGTAAATTTTTTTGTACGACAGATATGTACATATACACAGACACATACACGCACATACTCATATAAATATAAAAAATATGTATTTGGTGTTAATAAATTTAAATATATGAATATTCTCTTACATCACCATATGTTTTGAATGATAGATCCATGATTTTTCCAGCAGTTAACTTCGTAGGCAAATTAGATATAATCATCACCAGCACGATACCACGCGCTTTCTTGTTCGGAAGGCGATACCATTCGAGTTCGCACGATGTACTAGCTACCTTCTCCGCCTATTATAAATATTATTACACATACTATCATATATTACTACACATATTATTATACATATGTAGCAATATTTCACGAATTTAAACATAATGCTAATATATGAAACATGTCCTATTATTTTTTAAAGACAAGAATTATTTTTGTGGCTTTTGTATATATACACACACACAACACAGATATAAAAAAATTAATCTGATTAAATAATAACATTGATATCATTATATATGCGTTATTGCGATTATATAATAGAATTCGTTAGAGATTTAACATAGATTACAGACGAACACATACCTGAACGGTAAGCTGTTCACCGGTATAACAAAACAGAAACATATTTATCATCATAGACGTAACCGACATAAAGTAAGAACATGTAGCTATTGTATTGCTTTTCTCCCATTCCTATAAATGTAATACTTTTGATGTAAGCGCTTTTTACATAAGTATAGAAAGACATGAAACCAATTATCATTTACATTAAAATCATAAAGCATCTGAATTGTCTGTGAATACATTTATAATTTTAAAATTTTTATTAAATATATCGAAAAAAGCTGTTTTTATTTAATTATTAAGAAACAATTTAGTGAAATAATTAAGAGTAATACAAGAATAATAAAAAAATCACAAACCACTATTATGCAATATCCAAGAATGCATACGATTGATGTACATCCCATTAATTCAATTAAACATATTTGTTGCATTGTATGTTCCACTAATTGCAAAAAACTGAAATATATTGATGATATCAAATCGACACTTTTACTTTTAGAAAATAAGAAAAATTGCATTAAGAACTATTAGTCATACGTGGAAGACAAATCAAATTGTTGAAAAATTAAAACAAATAATTATTTTTTAATATTATAATGTAGATTTAATATATAAAAGTTATCGGTAACATTACTCACTATCGTATTCTTATTTGATGTTCGACTACTGCGGCTAGCTTTTTATCTACCTCTTGTTTTTCTTGCCACTGGTTTTCAACAAGATTTCTCATTAGCTCTATCAGAATTTTTAACTGGCCGCAGGCGTGCATCACGAATACGGCAACGAGACCACATACACCCGTTGTGATCGAAAAGGTAACTAAACCCGATAAGCACTGTATCGCGAAAATTATCTCATAAACAGGACTGACTTGTGAATTGAAGAAAACGTAGTATCCTGGACATGGCAAAGGTTTAATCGTGATATTCTGCGCGTTAATAATTTTTCCCCTAACAAATGGTAAAATCAGTCGAAAGGAGAGTCCGCTGCTATACATAAAGGCTGCGCAAATTGCAACTAGGCGTCTTCCGGTTTTCGCGGATTCAATCATCGTGTTTCGTGCGCTCATACTGGTGACATTTCTCCAATCTTCTTCGATATGTTTCAAGCAGCGCTTGAGCTGTCCCTCGCGAAATATTAAATTAACGTATTTACTTATGGCCATGAAGCCGAAAATAAGCAGAGGCAACGTCTGAATTTTGACATGTGTTCTCTTTTCGAGTATCCAGAAGAGGAAACCGGGAATCAGAATGGAATAGAGAAGAGCGTAAGATATACAGATTAGTAGAAACTTGTTAATTCTTTCAATGATAGTTCTTTTTCTGCTGAAAGACGGCCAGACTCCAAGTGTGCTTAGAATGTTACGTGTTAATTGTGTAATAAACATAATATCATCTTGATAATGTTCGTTATGCGACATTTTTTTTTGAAAAATTTTGAAGAAACGTTTGGAGAACGTTTTGCGATTTTTTCTCTGGAAAATTATTCCTGAATACCAACTGTCGTGCAAATTGCTACCGTTAATGTGAAACTTAAATGCGAGCTAAATCACGACTGTTCGCAGTAAAAAACAAACAGTCGATGAAGTAAACTCGCTGTCCGCTTACGCTTGCGCGCTTTAAAGATTTAAATGATTGCGTGAGAAAGATATTTTAAAAGCAGGAGTTTTCCAAGAGAGAGTCAGCTTTACCGAGGGTTATGATAGTGCTTTCCACGAATAGAATTTCTATTCGTCAACGTGTTTCTCTTTTTCAACTAGAAATACGATTAGCTTTAAAACTTTGTTTTTTCCAGTATTTAAACTTCCAATTGTATTTATCGAATATTGACCGCGAATAATAGCTCCGTTTCTCTTTTACTGTTTGATGTTTTCATTTTACCTGCTCTGATCAAATATAAAAGTCAACATATAGTGCAGTACTAATACATTTCTCGATAAATGTCAAATTATATTTATATTGTCGGTTATTTTTAAATTGTTATATGTTATTAAAAAGATGAAATAATAATTGTATAATTTAAACAACTAGCATAATATCTCAGGCCGGTTTCTAAAAGAAATTTAATGTATCTCAGAAAACTTTCTGCACGGATTCTTCTATAGAAGAAATACATTTATATCGAGATACATCACGTAAATAATATGTACGTATATATATGTACATTATACAAAACTTTTGTATTTGACACATTTATAAGTTTACTTGATAATGTTGCTGTCCATATTTGTATATAATTTTAACGATAAGAATAAAAATTATACAGCACAGAAAGAGATTCAGTCGGTTACCTTTAAAAGCATATTAAAATACGTCACAGCTGTCTTTACGACCTAAAACACAACATTCCGTAATAATTTATTTATTATTTATCATGATTTTATGTAATTCAATGAAAAGGAATTATATTCAATGTAAGTAAAAAAAAACACAATATATATAAATGATATTATCCATGCAAATATATGAGACAGATATTAATTAAAAATATATATATGTCGTAATTATAAATAATTTAATTTAACATTATTATAGAGTATAATAGCATTGATTCTCTTATTAACTTGTTTGCCGTGTATAAGAAATGTAATATATAATTAATGCCAAATATATAAAAAATTAAGAAAGTATTTGATTGCTGTGTCTATCTTTTTCATTATGTAATGCACATATATTTTTTTTATTTATATTTATATTTATATTTACTTATATTATAAAATAAATAAAATTATATTTATAAATTAAATTAAAAATAAATATTTGATAATATGTTTAGTTGTCATGTGTATTATAATTATTGCAGGTTTTTGAGAAAATAAATGTGGTTTTGTATGATCTTACATCACCGTATGTCTTGAATGACAAATCCATAATTTTTCCAGCGGTGACTTTGGTAGGTAAGTTCGACATAATCATCACTAGCACAATTCCACGCGCTTTTTTGTCCGGAAGACGATACCAGTCGAGCTCGCACGATGTACTAGCTACTCTCTCCGCCTGTCATTGACATTTAAGCATTTCATATTTTAACATAATTTTATATAAATATTTTCAACAATACATTTCTTTATAAAAAGCAGATACAATCTTTGATGAGAAAACACACACAAATGTATAACATTATTATATTATAATATATAATATAATGACGTTTGTTTAAAAAAATCTAATAGTTTGGTATTGACGAATATACCTGAACACTAAGCTGTTCACCAGTATAACAAAACATGAACATGTTTATCATCAGAGATGTAAGTGTAATAAAGTAAGAGCACATAGCTATTGAATTGCTATTTTCCCATTCCTATAAACGTAAATATTTCGTGTTTTCTCTTATATTTTTTGTTTTATTTTATCGAGAGAATATATAATTCGCGAAAATATATAAATATTACAAACCTTTATTATAAAATATCCCAAAAGGCAAACAATGATCGTACAACCCACTAATTCTATCAGACATGCTTGTTGCATAGTATGTTCTACCAATCGCAAAAAACTGAAATGTCGATGATGTTAAATCGACACATTTTTAAAAGAGTGAAAGAATAATTAATAAATAATATTAACTATATGGTATATGAAATATGAATATGTATCAATAATTGTAGCACCATTAATATATGTTAGTACCAATAATAAACAGTATCAAGTAGTCAATAATTTTTAATTAATATTAATAAATAATTATTAAGCATTTTGAGTCATACAATCAAAATAGAGAATTAAGAAAAACTACAATTTAAAAACACTTACTTTCGTATCCTTATTTGATGCTCGACCATTTCACCAAGTTTCTTATCCAACTCTTGAGTCTCTTCCCATTGTTCTTCGACGAGATTTCTCATCAGATCCACTAAAATTTTTAGTTGACCACAAGCATGCATCACAAAGACAGCCGCAAGACCACATACACCGATCGTTATCGAATAAGTAACTATGCCGGACAAAAATTGAATCGCGAAAACCGTCTCGTAAATAGGACTAACTTGCATATTGAAAGAGAACAAATAAGCAGGGCAGGGCAGAGGTTTGATTGTGACATTCTGCGCGGTGACGATCTTTCCCTTGGCGAACGGCAGAATCGATCGAAAGGATAGTCCGCTACCATACATGAAAACTGCGCAAAGTGTAACCAAGCGTCTTCCAATTTTTGCAGATTCGATCATCGAATCTCTTGCGTCCATGCTGATAAGGATCCTCCAATCCTCCTCCATGTGCTTCAAGCAACGTCTAATACGTCCCTCGCTTAATACCAAAATGCTGTATTTACCTGTAGCCATAAAACCGTAAAAAATCAGAGGTATTGTTTGAACTCGGACGCGCGTTCTCTTCTCGATTAACCAGAAAAGGAGGCCGGGAATCAGAACGCAGTAAAGAAGAATATAAGAGCCTGAGATTAACAGAAATTTCCAAATTCTTTCGCCGATGGATTTTTTTCTGTTGAAAGATGGCCAGACTCCGAGTAAACTCAAAACCTGACGCGTTAATTGTGTAATATACATAATATCATCTTGATAATGTTGATTGCGCAGCATCTTCCTGTTAATTTTGTGTGTGAAATCTATACAGAAATTGAATCACGACTGATCGTTGCGAAAAAAAGTTGTCGATAAAGTAAATTCGCTGTCCGCTTGCGCTTGCGCGCTTTAAAGATTCAAATGTTACAGAAGAGTTGGAAAAAGAGTTGTTGCAAGAGCCAACTCATTCAGTAGCGAGGGTCGGGATTGCTTTTCCGTGGAAAGTCTATATTTCTATTTGCCAATGTGCATCTTTTTTTCAAACATACTGGAATATAATAGGCTATAACTTTGTTTCTTTCTGTATGAAAACTCGGGATTAGATTTATCAGAACGTTGACCGACACGTAATACTAGTTTCGCTTACATGATAAAGAATATTTCAATATGCTCGTATATAGAAGTAAAAGGATATGACAGAGAAATAACATTATTTTTGCATAATATCAGTGGATTAAATAATTATGAATTTATATCTATATGATAAAATAAATAAATGTAAAATTATATATGTGTAATACATTTACAAACTATATCTTATCGATGATAAGTGTTCGAAAAAGCAAAGTGAACTTGTTGAAGTTGTAGTTGCGTGAGGAGCAGAAAATGAAAGCAGCAAATCGTTTCTTTGGAAAGCCTTTTGATATGCCAATGTTTTCTAATTATATATTTAGTTTGACTTTGTTGATATCTCTATTGAAACTTGCGCTTTTAGAAGCTGCGATATTGATAGGTAAGTAGAAGTTTCGATTGCATTGTACAATTTTTAATGTGCAATTGTTAATGCTATTCACTTTCCCTGATTAAGTTATTGAATTACATACATACAAAAATAGCAAATTAAAATAATGACACATCTCTTACTTCATTAAAATCATTCGCGTCGATAAAATAATAAAATAAAATAATTATTGCGACAATTGAATATATTTGTCGAATACTCAACGTACCTTCGTCCAAAGTTGTTTGCTGATAACGCAGAAGATAAATATGTAAAAAGTAATTCATGCGTGAATCCAATGAAATATGAACCTTACAGAGTTGTTGTCTTCTTACTTCTGTAAATTCGACATAATTATATTTATTTTTATAAAATATTTCTGTATGTGTGATATTGTTATTATGAAAAGCATAACACGTTGCGCGTTTCATTAAATCTTGTGTCACTCTAATTACTGCTACATAATCATTTTTGCACACAATAATAATAAAATATTTTAGAATACACACAATTACAATACATTCCAAGATTCGTATAATATTCTGCATTCATTGCAAGAATTAAAATACAACGCAAAAAAAAATAACAAGAATCTAATATTTAGAAATATAATTATATCTATGTTTATTTATCGATTAATTGTTATTATATATGCATTAAAATTATTGAGCTACAGCAAAATATATTATCAAAAGTGACAAATTTGCGTAAAGCATCTACAAAGATTGATTTACTTACGCGTTTTGATTTAAAGTCTTTCCACAATAACAACCAATGTCTTATTTAATTTTTAAGGTGTATTTACTAAATTCTTTATTAAAGTCATCAATATGTCTAGCTGTGCAAATGCATCATGAAGAAGCCCGCGAGACTGCACATCGCCAGATTATTGCCACATTTGACGAATCCCGAGAAGAACTGCAAACACAAATTATTTTTTAATCGGCGAAATTGACCTGCACGTCAAACAAAATAAAGTCCGGACACGGTAAGCCCCTGGATCATAAGATCAGGTATATTTGCATTTATAATATACCGGATATATTTCTAATTCATAAAAATATTTTTCCACGATAATAATGATAATTGTTTGAAACAACATTTCAGTAGACTATATGAATATATCACATACTATACGAGCAAACATCTGTCAGTTCTGGTCCTGTTGATGGTGATGTCGTGATTGCTTGAACTGGCTACGTTTCGTCAATCATTCTCCATCTGCACAAGACAGTCTCTCAATTAATTCCTTCTGAACAACAGCTGATTTGGCCATTATCGTGAATAATATAGTGACTCTTACTTTGAGTTTTGCGTGGATCTTTCTTTGCATGATGTTTATGTAGAGAATCGCTAGGATTAATTCGCAGATGAGAAGGATGTAAAAAGCAAGGATCATCGAAATCCTTTCGAGCGTCTATGAAAACTAGAATTTCGTGAGTAGATACTGTCACATGCCTAACAGACAAAACACGAAGCGGCTAAACGGAATGTAATTTATGTTCAAATAATTTTTGTTTGTGAATATCTTTCACCAGATCTACGCGGTAGTGAAGCAACGCGCGTTTGCTCGCCACTGATTACAGTTGATCCGTTTTATACGATTCAAGAAAACTCGCGATTCGCATGCGCTTACATATTGAAACAATCGCGTAAAGCCACGTAACAGATAAATCATTGATATCGCATGTGTATGAACTTTCAAAGGGATGTTGCGTTTATTTTCACTTTGTTTCTATGAAGGAAAGCTTTTCTCGGAAATTACAAAAAGGTTAACGTTCTAGGAAATAAGTTTTCTCGTGATAGCGATGTGAGTGAGAGAGATACAATCTTGGATTCTATAATTTTCTAAGAAAATTATAGAGAAAGAGTAAAAAAAGTAGAGAATATATATGTATAAAATAGATTATTTAATTATATATATATATATGTATATATATATATATTACTATTTATTTTTGTTATATATAACATCAATAATTTTTCAATAATATTAAATAAATATAGATTGTCTTAAATAGAAATTTATCACCAATTCCAGTTCTTTTTGCCATTTATTCAGTTAGTTGTCGAAGCATGTTCAAATAGATTACAGCAGATTTAATTACCTGAAAAATCAATTTTTTAAATCTTTAAGAACAATTAATTTATACATTAGTTGACAATAAAACATCACAGAATTATTGGTAAATTATTGCTTTAAAATATTTGTTCACATTAATTCTATCGCTCACATCACCGAATGTTTTAAAAGACAGATCAATGAATTTTCCAGCGGTAATTCGTGGCAAAACATTCGAAAAAGCTATCACTAATACCATATCTCGCGTCATACTTGTCGGAAGACGATACCAGTCGAGCGTGCAAGAAGTCCAGCTTATTTCTTCTGCCTATCGTGGATAATTGTGATTACTTTGCACGTAAAAAACGATATATAAAGAATCTTTATTAAATATTTACAAAATTACCTGCGTCGTTATGTATTCTCCGATATAACATAAAATAAAAATATTAATAGTAACGGACATAAGAGCTGCAACGTACGAACACAGAGCCGCTATGTTTCTATCCTCCCACTCCTAGGGATAAAATTAATCTGTATTCGCGGTCCGCAACGTATTTGTGCACCTAAATACAATATATTTATTTGCATTTTACTTTTCTCGTACCCCTATTATACAATATCCCGTAAGACATATGATCGTGGTACACCCCAATATTTCGACTAAGCTACTATAGCGCAAAATATTCTCCACCAGTTGTAAGAAACTAAAACGCAATTATCAAACATATTTTCGATTTAGCAGTAAGAAGCAAGGAAATATATAACAATGTCAAAATGTATATATTAATATTTTAAAAATATAAATATATAAAACTTTTTATAAACACAACTCCAATAATAATAGAAAATGACATTTTTAATATCAATATCTGTAATTAAAAAATAATAGCTTTGTGAGAGTGTTTTTATATTTTCATAAATATTTTAATATTTATATACGTGTCAATGAAAAGTAACGTGCTATAATAAAATCAAGGACTTACTTTCGTATCCTTATCTGATGTTCAATTACGACTGCCAGTTTAACAACGACGTTCCTCTGTCCAAAATCATTCTCGTTGACAAGATTCTCCATCAAACGCGTCAGAATCTCCATCTGCGCGCACGCATGCATCACGAAGACCGCGGCGAGACCGCAAATTGCCACCGTGATCGTGTACATGACGAAACCGCAGAGGCACTGCAGAAGAAACACAATTTCGTAGGCGGGACTATTTTGCGGATTGAAAAAAACATAATAACCGGGGCAGGAGAGCGGTCTGATCGTAATGTTTTGATCGATAACGATACTTCCTCTTGATAGCGGCACTATCGTGTTGTAAGAGAGTCCGCCACAATACATGAACGTGCAACACAAGGTAAATAATCGTCTTCCGGTATTGGCTTTATCCAGCATCACTTCTCGCGCATCGCTGATAATTAACGTCCTCCAATCTTCCTCGATGTGTCGCAGACAACGTCTGATATTCGACTCGTGGACAATCAAGTTACTGTACTTGGCGATCGCCATAATTGAGTACAGGATCGGTGGCATCATCTTCATCTGTTCGCGCGCTCCATTATCGATAAATATGTAATACAAAACACCCGGTACCATATCGCAATGGAGAAGAAGATAGCAAATAATCATGAAAAAGATATTTGTAACTTTCTCGATCGTGTTTGGTCGTCTATCGGTCAATGGCCAAATACCGAGCATGCGAAGTACAACATGACTTTGCTCGACGACGTATTTCACGTCCTCTTGATAATGTTTATTGTGAATCATCCTAATGATCGTATAGTCACAATTGTAATTTTTCTAGAGATTATATAAAAGCCATAACAGCTCTTTATAATTTTAATAATGCTAGAACGACGGAGAAGATTCTACGATCGCGCGATGGAAAGAATGAATATACGAGAAGTCAAGAATTTAAATTCTTTGTTGACTGCTGCAGTCAGAGTGAAAGATGCTTTCAATCTATACTTGCGCTTGCGTACATTAAAAATTAAAGAGCTACGTAGGGGAGACAAAAGAGTTATTGAAAGCAGTTTCTGCGGTTGATGTCGCACGCGATATGATTTCTCTACTTGTAGTTGTGTATCGCGCATGGAAACTTTGACTTTGTAACTTGAAACTTTGCACTTTGACTTTATCGAGATACATTGTTAATAATATCGGGTTTTATTGGTAAATAAAATTTTTATTTATCTTCATTAGCAGGATCGTTCATATTTTCATTATGCAAGTAATGTAATGCTTTGGAATATTGTTATTCCTCTCACTTGCTTATATTTTTTTTTAAATCTTATTTTATGTAGTTATTACATTTTTTTTTAAGAGAAATCTTTTTTGTTTGTAAATGCTGTATTAACACATGCCTTATTAGTCGAATTAAAAAATAAGTAATTCATTGCTTAGATAATAATATATACTTTTCTAGAATTACGCGGATTTCTGCTAGGAAACATGCATAAGACTCGTTCGATGAACTTCTGCGATCTTTACGAGTAAGAGTCGCGACTTTGATGGCTAGTAATTTGCATTTTGTAATATATAGAGTTGAATTTATGGGGGAAACAACGCGGCTATTGGAGTAAATCGGCAAAGAGTAGGCACGGTCGATTGCAATGATGTACCGGGATAGAAACTCTTATCCGTAGATAATTGCTGCAAAGTTATTGACAACACGTAATTTTGTGATATTTTTTAATATTTACGTCAAAAAATTCTACAATATATAAAACGTCAAAGTTTTTTTTTATACGACTCTATGTTATGCATTACTTTCATATATTTCAATCTGATATTAAAGTATCTGTATAAGATTATTCAGCAAGAATAATATAATTTAAACATATTTCTGAAAATATTAATAATCTTCACGCAATCTTCTATGTTACTTAATTATTTCATCAAAAAGGCAGCTCTTGTATATTTACATAATATCTCGCGAGGAAACTTCACGAAGTAAGTTAAGGTATGCCATTGACGTTTTTAAAATCTAGAGAATAACATATGACATTATCAACAATTATAATGTGAAACGTGTGAATTGTTTTTAATAATATAATTTTGTGTACTCACATTAGAAAAACTACTCATAGTTAGCTTCACCATTTTTCCGGCAGTAAGCTCAACCGGATAATTTGACATAATAATTGGGAACATCAAGTTACGCGCCTTATTCTGTGGTAAACGATACCATTCAATCATGTAACACTTAATGCCTACTTTTTGACATCGATCTACGAGCCGTTCGCCGATGTAGCAAAATATGTATATGTTAAACGTAATTGATATAAAGGCGACAAAATACACGAAAATTGGTAGCATCGATTCCTGGGTATTCCAATCCTACACGTTAAAAATACAATGTATTAAAAATACAATTAATAAATTAAATACTCTCTCTTATTAAACTATATTTATATATAATAATAATAAATATTTCTGTTATATCTGATAAAAGCAGTAAAATTTCGAAATAAAGCTGCAATTAAATTAACGTACCATGATAACGTAGTAACCAAGTAAACACATATTACACGAAGCATTTATAAATTCCGCTAAACATATCTCGTTCAATACCTTATCTATGTCAGAAACAAATCTGAAATTTAATATCTGAATTGCAATAACTGCAAATGGAAAATAAATGACAATCAAATCAAATCAGTTATGCAATCGGTTAATCAACTTACTTGAGTATTCGAAGATGATGTCTTATAGCGGTACTGATCCTTTGGTCGACGGTACCACAATTTCGATCACCACCGTCCACCAATTCGTCGAAAATATACATCAGGATCTCGCATTGGCCGCATATGTGAGTAACGAATTTAGCTGTTAAGCTACAAATGCCGCAGAATACGGTATACGCAGTGAAACACGATAAAGCTACCAATGCATATGTGATTTCGTAAACTGGGCTGACCTGTATATGATAAAAAAAAGAACACGAAATTACTAAAAAATCATAATTTGCTAATTACACATAACTATTTTTAAAAACTAAAAGTTTTTATTAAAAATTATAACATTAGCCAAATATATTTGAGCATCTATTGCTAAGAATATATAATTAATTTATTATAAAAAAACTTTTTAAACTTTCTGAATTTTTCTTTTATAACAAAAAAAAAAGAGAAAATTATGATAATTATAAAATTGAAAATATGATATAATTGTAACTTTTCAGTCTGCGAATAAAAGGACTTAACGTCGTACATTGAATTGACCTGGACGTCCAAAAAGATCAGCTCACAGGGATTGGGAAACGATCTAATCGTCACGTTGTCTTCCGTAACGATGGGCGGTAACATTAAAGGCATGCAGGTATAAGGTAGACCGCTGCCGAACATGAACGCCACGGAGATGATGCCAAAGAAACGTCCCGACTTGGCGTTAGCTAACATGATCTTGCGATCCTCGGCTATCGTCACGTTACGCCAGTCTTCGGCAATACGATCGATGCACGATTTGATCTCGTGTTGATGGGACAGCAACAGCAGGTATCTCAGAAAAACGGTAATTGTAAATATCAGCGGACACGCGGTTCTGAGAATCTCATAAAAGCTCCAATTCGTGGTAATTATACATGCAATCCACGAGGCGACCGCGAAGAACTGAAGGAACGTGGCAACGGCGATTGATAAACCGTGAACGATAATTTCTACCTTGGTAGCTTGTTGTCGCAACGGCCAGGCACCGATCGGCTTCAGCAAGCAAATGCTTATCTGGACGGCATAGTAAAAGTCCGAGATGTGAAATTTATTTTGTTTTATTATATCAGCGATGAACGCGCTCCTTTGCTTCCGATCGACCATTTTCATACGATGTAACGTTACTGACAGCTCGATCTTTACTAACGCGAAATAAAAATTCAACGCGGATTTCTACTACGAAGCATGCGCGGCCCGTTCGATGAACTTCTCCGATCCCTGCGAGCAAAAGTCGTGACTTTGATGACTCGTAATTTGCATTTTTTAATGTTGTCGGTTTATGGGGAAACAGCAGCTGCGACTGTGGAATAAATCAGGAAGGGTTGAACGAAGTTTACCGCGATGATGTGGCATCGGAGGAAACTTTTGTCCAAGGATAATCGCAAAGTTACTAATACTGTATAATTCTAATATTTTCTCATATTTTTTTCGAAAAACTTTACAACACATATTGTTCGTAAAAGTTTTTACATAACTCTGTGCTTCACATTATTCTTATATGATTCGATCTTACATTCAACTACATATATTACCTAGCAGATAGCTCGCATATTTCTAAAAATATTAATAATCTTCGCGCAATGTTTTATATCTTTAAATATTTTGTCTCGAAAATTCTCTCCGTCATTTTTGCACATTTATATATTATCCCGCGAGACAACCTCGCGAAGTAAATTAATGTACGCCATCGACGTTTTCAAAATCTAAAGTACAACATGTGACAGCATCAGCATTTATGATATTAACATACACAATACGAGATATTTTTAATAATAGTAAAAATTAGCATACTCACGTTAGAAAAACTGCTTATAGTTATTGTCATCATTTTTCCGGCAGTAAGCTCAATTGGATAATTCGACATAATCATCGGGAACATTAAATTACGCGCCTTATTATGTGGTAAACGATACCATTCTATCATGTAACATTTAATACCTATTTTCTGGTATCGATCCATAAGCTGTTCGCCGATATAGCAAAATATGTATATGTTAAAAGTGATGGATATGAAGGCAAGGAAATACACGAAAATTTGTAGCATCGATTCTTGATTGTTCCAATCCTACAAGTAATAAGATTAAAAATAAACAATTAATAGATTATATAAATAATATTCGTAATAATTAGTATATATTTATACATTATCTCTTTCTTTTAGTTGATAATGTAAAATATCAAAATATCGAACGTTATTACAAAATTAAACATACCATAATAACATAATAACCAAGTAAACATATATTACACGAAGCATTTATAAATTCCGCTAAACATATCTCGTTCAATATCTTATCTACATCAGAAACGAATCTGAAATTCAATATAATATTTGCGGAAAATTGCAAATGGAAAATAAATGATAACCAAATTAAATCAGTTATGCCGTTAATTAATTCACCTGAGTATTCGAAGATGTTGTGTTACAGCGGTTCTAATCCTTTGGTCGATAGGGCCCCGATTTCGATCGCCACCATCGATTATCTCTTCGAAAATATACATCAGGATTTCGCACTGACCGCAGGCGTGAGTAGTGAATTTAGCTGTTAAACTACAAATGCCGCAAAATACGGTATACAAAACACAACATGACAATGTTTCCAATGCATATACGACTTCGTAAATTGGACTGACCTGTACGTAATAATTAAAAGAACACAAAATTGCTAAAAAATTATAATATTTGCAAATTATATATAGTTACTTTTAAATTAAAAGTTTTTATTAATTATAGCATTAGCACAATATATTTCTTGAGCACCTGTGGCTAATATTAAGACTATGATCAACTTATTATAAAAAAAGTTTTTTAATTTTTAAAATAAAATAAAAGAGAGAAGAAAGAAGAAAAATATGGATAATTAATAAATTAAGAAAATAAGATGTCTTTTGAGTCTTCGAATGAAAGAATTTAACGTCGTACATTGAATTGACCTGGACGTCCAAGAAGATTAGCTCAGAGGGATTGGGCAGCGATCTAATTGTCACATTGTCTTCTGTAACGACGGATGGCAACATTAAAGGCATACAGGTATAAGGTAGACCGCTGCCGAACATAAACACCACGGAGATCATGCCAAAGAAGCGTCCCGATTTGGCGTTTGCTAACATGATTTTGCGATCTTCAATTATTGCTACGTTAAGCCAGTCTTTAACAACACGATCGATGCACGATCTGATTTCATCCCGATGGAATAGCAACAGTAAGTATCTCAGAAAAACAGTAACTGAAAATATTAGCGGACACGCAGTTCTGAGAATTTCGTAAATGCTCCATTTCGCGGTAACTATACGTACGATCCATGGAATGATCATGAATAGTTGGAAAAACGTAGCGATAATAATTGATAAGCTATATATAATAATATCTCTTTTGGTAGCTCGCTGTTCCAGTGGCCAGGCACCGATCGGCTTTAATAACCAGAAGCTGACCTGTGCAGCATAATGAAAATCCAAAAGCCGTTTATCGTTTTGCATAAGATTAAACTCTTCCATAAATGCAGCGATTGTTTACGTGAGTGCAATCTTAATGACAATTCAGCGACGACTGACAGTCAAGCTGAGAGGCACAGGATTCTCGGTAAGCATGCGCGAGATACACTTGGCTGTTTTCCGACTAGGGTGATTAAATATGATCCCTCTTCATTCGTGACTTGCACTTTACAGAACATTTCACTGAGGTTGAGAGAAAAGTACAACTGTGGTCAGAGCGAGGGGACACTAATGATGCTTTAAGAAACTTCAAAACGGAGGGAAGCTCTCTACACGATCTAAAAGTTGTTCTGCCGACTCTATCGTAGAATTGTTGTTTAATCGCGTTTCTTTCTTACTGTGGAAAAACCGCGGTCAAAAGTGTTTCTATCATGATATTAAATGTTATTTTTGCTAACAGTTATATAGTAATATATTTTATTGATTGTTCGATTCATTAATGTCGCTTGAAGCTAAATAATAAATGCGAATAAGATGATAAGTGTTATATTTGTGATAGTCTTGAGCGAAATAGTCGATATTGCAGCGAATGATGTTTCAGACAATCACGTCTTACTCTGCAACCATTCGAATAAAATTAAGATACGCCGCTGATGTTTTGCATACCTGTGAACATTCGTGAAATAATCGAGCAATATGTTTGAATGAATTCTAAATTAATGAGTAACGATAGAAGTTACTTACATCGCAAAAACCTTGAAGAGAGACATCAAATATTTTACCAGCTGTCAATGTGGACGGACGATTTGATCTCATCATCACCATGACTAAACCGTTCACCTTCTTCGCTGGTAACGCATACCAGTTGATAAAATACGACGCCTCTCCTATTTTTACGCTCTTGTTTATAGCATTAAAATTAAATATAAATATCGAGAATGTTTAACTAATATGACCACGTTTTTTAATATTTATTAAATTAATAATTTGACAGATCTACCTCTTCTTTAAGACGATCGCCGATAGATGATATGGTAAAAACGTTTACCAAAATTGAAATCACTAAAATAAAATATATAATTGTACCTAATAGTTGATTGTCCTCCCATTCCTGAAATAAATTTATTCATAAAAACAATATATATATATGCGTGTATGAATATATATATATATAAGTTAATTTAATATTAGATTTTAAAATAATGAAAATCAATCGATATAATGCAAGAAATATTTCAAAATACCTTAAGAACGCCATATTCAAGAAAGCATATTATAATAGTACATCCAACCATATCGGATAAAAAGACAAAGTTGTATGATTTTTCAATCATTTCAGCAAATCTGTAATAGATAAAAATAATTTTCAATGGAATAGCAATTATTATAAATTATAGTAAAAATAAGTAATTACAAATAGCTATATCGTAAGAAACACACATTTGTATATTGCGTGTATATCAATTATATTTCTAATAAAAGTAATCTTTTTTTGCGATTAAACTAAAAAATATTTTTCTTTCTATTATAATAAAATATATTAATATTTTTAATGATACATGTGGTAAAACGTTTACACATTCTTTGCCGACCTGAGAGCTCGCGTATGATGTACGATTATCTGACCAAATCGTTTATGAAGATCGTCAGTTTCGTCGATCAAAAAAGTTTCCATGTGTCTGCGGCTTATCTCGAATAGACAGCAGGCATGCATCACGGAGGAAGCGATCAAGCTATAAACGCCACAGTTTGTTGATAAGATGATAGTGCTGAAGAGGATTTGTGTGACGAAGAGGACTTCGTAAAAGGGCGAGTTCTCCACCACGAAGAAGACGTAGTCACTGAGATATGGCAAAGGCAACTGCGTCGTATTATCCTCTTTGACAATTCTATCCGCCACCAACGGCATAATTATGTGGTAAGGCAACGCACCGCCATACAGTAATCCCAGGTAGATGATCGTGAACTGTCTCCCGAGTTTGGCATGTCTCATCATCACCGATCGATCGTCCTCACTCTCCACATCTTTGAACTGAGTTTCTATTTGCTGTAGACAATACTTGATGTCATCTCTGTTGATGATCATCGTCCAGAACTTGATGATACCCAGAAGACTGAATACCTGGGCAGCTATCACCTTCATGTATCTCGTCAAATCCTCCGCATCGAAAAAAGTATATATGATATGCGGAACGAGTAGAAAGCACATTAAACTGAACATGAAGCTTGTCTGGAAAACGTACTTCATCTTATCAAACGTGGAATCGATACTGTAAAGGGGCCAGACACCAACGGGCGTTAACAAGATTTTGGCGACTTTCACCACATATTCTATGTCGGACTTGTAATTAAAGTTTCGGAACAGCGTGCGGCTGGCGTTGGTTGACGATATATCCGCGATTTTCATAATTACTCGATTGCGTTTTGATTTCCAACTATAACAATCAGAAGAGTCGCATGGGAGTTGACCGCATGGGCGCTTGCGTGCAGAAAGTTCGCCTCTCTGCAGAAACTTTGCGTAGGGGCTATCTTCTGAGAATCGTCGCAATATCCAGTGGAAAAAAAAATTGCATAATTTCAATGATTACGCAGGCGCTGTAAGATAAAAAATGGGAGATCTGCTTTGTCGTATTGTCGAGAGCAACAACGTGCGGTGCTCAAGACGTGACATATACCTACCAGTCAGTCAGAAAAACAGAGTAAAATCTAATATATAAAGTATTTCTTGTGCGTGCGTGTTTCTAAGAATATATTATGATATATAATATTTGATAAAATTAGCATACACTGGCGCACATTAAGAATAAATTATATTTTCCAGTTTTATCTAAGAATGACGTTTCGACAGAATTTTATACCGTCACACAAAAATTCAGGTATGTAATAATAATTTGAACAATTGCGACTTTCTTATAGTTTAACAGCCTCAAATCATTTGCATCGAGGTAAATCATTTTATTGAAACATATTCTCTCTTTTAGTAAGCAAATTGCTCCTGACAATTTCATTGCAATCATGATGATTATAGAACATATAGTTTTTTATTATTCGCGATTTACGTTTTACAAACCCTTAAAATAGGATTCGAAGAAAAGTAGAAATTTTGAAAAGGGAAAGATAATAATGTCGCAATAAAAGTTCCGAACAAAGAATACGCATTACGCGATTGCTAAGTTAGATATAACTCATAATTGTAATTTGAATAAATTGTTTTCCAGGAAAAGGGGGAGAGAGATTATGGATAAAGACATTACATATGGAAATTACATGACATATAACATTGTTCAAGTAACTGTTAGTAATTTATTGTTGAACAGAGAGGTGATCGATCTGCTTACATTAAATAAGAAAAGTGAGAGATATGTTATATTTGAAGCAATGATATAGATAATAACGTAACATATCTTATATAAGATAACCGATAATATTGTGCAACATAATATTTGTAAATTTATGTGGTCATTGCTCGTATAAAATTGAAATACGCCGCCGATGTTTTGCAAACCTGTAAAAATATACATGATACATGTGGCAGATATTAATTGCCAATTTTTTTAGATAAATATTATAGCGAATACTTACTTCGCAGAATCCTTGAAGGGAAAGATCAAATATTTTCGCGGCAGTTAAAGTTGACGGTCGGCCTGATCTAATCATTATCAAAATTAAATCGCCTATGGTTTTTGTTGGCAAATTATACCATTCGATAAAATATGATGATTCCCCTACCTTTTCACTCTCCATGAGTAAGAAATAAATATTGATTGTTCGATTAATCGATTACATTATTTCAAAAAAATTAAATCATGATTATTTATTATATAAAATTAGCATTTTTTATAATTCTGTATGCGAGATGGATATGTATTATATTTTATAAGTTATATGATGGTATAAAATTATTGTTTTACCTCTTCTTTAAGACGATCACCAATAGCTGATATAATATAAACATTTACAAATATTGATGTCATTAAAATAAAATATGTGCCCATGTTTAAGATCTTTCCTTCTTCCCATTCCTAAAATAATTTTGTATTAACATAAAACGTTTTTGTAAAAACATAGAATAATTTATATTTGCATCATTAATTTTTAACGGAAATACCTTGAGAACACCAAATTCCAGAAAACATATAATAACAGTGCATCCAACCATTTCACATAAAAAAACAACATTTAATGATTTCTCAATCATCTCTGCGAATCTGTAATGTATTTCATCACATTTAATAAACATAAATAAAATTAAAATGATTGAGATATAACAAATGCATTTTCTTTTTTTGTCCTAGTTGTTTATACTTAATTTACTTAATATAAGAAATAATAAAGTAATAAATTTATAGAAACATAAAATATTCATAAAGCTTCCTCACTTGATGGCTTGCGTATGATGTTGGATTACTCGTCCGAGCCGCTTATGGAGATTATCGCTGCCATTGCTAAGAACTGTTTCCATCTGTCTACGAACGACTTCGAATAAACAACAGCTGTGCATCACGCAGGTGGCGATTAAACTGTAAACACCGCAATTCGTAGAGAGAATTATACTGCTGATTAAAATTTGCGATACAAAGAGGATCTCGTAGAATGGTGAATTTTCCACCACGAAGAAGACGTAGTCGCTGAGATATGGTAAAGGTATCTGTGTTGTATTGTCTTCCTTAACGACTCTCTCCTCCAACAGTGGCATGATTATGTGATAGGGTAACGCACCACCGTACGATAATCCTAAATACGTCACCGTGAAGAGTCTACCGATCTTAGCGCTCTTCGTCATCACCAATCGGTCTTCCTCGCACTCTACGTCTCTATATTGAATCTCCATTTGTTGTAAGCAATATCGAACTCCTTCCCTATTGATGATCATTGTCCAGAACTTGATAATGGCAAGCAAGCTAAATACCTGAGCAGCTATGACTTTCATGAACTTGGTCAGGTCCTCTGCATCGAAGATGGTATATATGACATGCGGAACAAGCAGAAAGCACATCAGGCAGAATATTATTCCAGTCTGTAAAAAATTCTTCATCTTGTCAGACGTGGAGGTGCCTCGATAAAGCGGCCAGATACCGACGGGTGTTAATAGGGTCTTGGCTACCTTTATCACATACTCGGTATCGGACTTGTAATTATTATTTCGAAATAGCTTGTGATCACTTCCCCCCGACATCGCTGAAAATTTTTAGCTCGTAATTGTTTTATCTCGCTACACGTACATCCACGATGACTGACGGACGCGAACATATCTTGCGAGAGCCAACCACGAGCGTCTGCGTGCAAAGTTCGCTTCCCTACGACAATTTTCTCCGGTCAATCTGCTTAAATTGTTGAAACTTTTAATGGCAAGAAAAAAACGCATTGTAATTTCAGTAGCAACGCATGCGCTGTTATAACATACGCTTTGAACCCTTTGAGTCAGAGCTTTATTCCTCCACAGGTCATCTGAAAGTGTAGTGTATTTTTCACAGTACAATCATCCAGAACGTAAGTATATTGACGTGAATTAACAAGTTGAGGATATTTGAGGATATGCGATTCGTTTATTGGATTTTAAACATCTACTAAAATTTTAAAAAATGGTGCGATATCGTGGAAATGAGAATTTTTCGAATACGTGTAATGTGTGTAAGCAGTGATTTAAGCGAGCACTCGACGTATCGATAAGATGTTGTAATTTTTCTCGATTTATAGTGATTAGTGCAGGTTGTTAAAGTAATTCCAGTAGTGGCGACAGTAAGTCTATTGTCTGTCGTCTGTCGTATTCACATTATTTCACTATGCAGGACGATCGGAATAGTGAGTGTTTTTTTTTTGTCATTAGGATCTACTTAAATGAATGTCAAAATACGCGTATGCGATTTTTACAGATATTATGTGGAAGATGCAAGAGAATACAATAACAATGTTTGCGGCAGAAATTGTGGGTACGGGTATCCTTTTATTCATCGGTTGTATGGGTTGTATCGGTACCATGGGACCAGCACCACCTTCACCATTACAAATGGCACTGACTTTCGGTTTGACGGTGAATCTCATAATTATGGTACGTTGCCGCATAGTTAATTTTTGTGAGTTAATAACGCATTTATGCTTATAATAGTATAGACAAATTATTAATAATATTTCTTTCTTGTATTTTTTATTTATGCGCGATATAATTTTTATATAACTTTTATTATAAATTTCGTGATAAATTAATCCAAATTATGAGAAATTCATTTTTGCAAAATCCGTAAAAATTCGGATAACATTTGCCCGTGTATTCTTTTATAATATATCTTTTTATTTTTTGTATTTCTCAGATGCTAGGTCATATAAGTGGAGCTCATCTTAATCCAGCTGTTACCATCGGTGCCGTTATCGTGGGTGTGAAATCGATTCCAACCGGGGCAGTTTACATCCTGGGCCAATTTATTGGTGCCACCGTGGGATATGGACTTTTAAAAGTGTTTTTATTTCTATTTTTGTTATCACTATAGCGCGCCGAACATTATAAACGATGATCTATATTCTCGCCAGATGGTAACGCCAGCGGAATTATTTAACGATGGAAACGCGAATTCGACTACGGGTCTTTGCGTCACGGTGGTCCATCCGGAGATCAACAGTATTCAAGCTATATTAATCGAAGTGTTTTGCACGAGCTGTATACTTTGCGCGGCTTGCGCTACGTGGGATCCTCGATGCGCTCATACTACAGATTCAACCGCCCTTAGATTCGGTCTCTCAGTCGCTGCTATTTCCTTTGCTGCGGTAAAACTTCATTTTCTTCTCAATCATTTTTGTATTTTGTTTTCCCTATTAACGCTATCATTAATTCAATAATATTAATATTATTTTTAATATTTTACTTTTATTTAGAAATGTATCTTATTTATAACAACCTATTAATCTTAAAAAATAAAACTATTTATTAAATTTATATATAATTTTTGAATAAAGAAAAACTATTTAACGTAAACTTGTCAACCATTAAAAAGAAATATGTGTGAAGGAAAAAATAATAATTTATTTATTTCTATATTTCTTCAGAGCCCTTATACCGGATGCAGCATGAATCCAGCACGAACGTTCGGTCCTGCATTATGGAATAATGCTTGGAAAGACCAATGGGTAAGTTGAAAATAAAAATTTTAATATTTTAATGTAAGCAAGAAAAGTGACACGAAATATGTAAGAAATGTGTACAGAAGATATCACGAGTGTATCACGACAGTTCCGCGTCACGCGTTCATGATAGATTCCCACATATTTAACAACGCTACGGGTTCCAAGATCAAACGATGCTATTGTATCACAGATTATAAATTATAGATTACAGATTACATTTGTTATAACAATTTTTTTTTTGTTTTGTTATGTATATATATAATAAGTTCAAATTACAGGATACACAGAATTAACGATTACGTTAATTCATTTTTAATCAACTACAAGAGTTTTTATAACATTGGATATTGTACATGCGATAAGGACTACATAAGTCACATGAACTGATAAGTCACTTGATACTGATAATAATCAAATATCAGTTGATTTAAACATCACATATCAAAGATTTTTCTAATGGCAATCGTATTCCGTGATTAAAGAAAAAAAATTTTATATAAGAGCAAAATATATATATCATATTTTTTTAGAACAGTGGTTCTCATAAATTATAAAAAGATAA